AAAGGCACTTTTCGTTCCTGAAAAGGGGAACTTACTAGAGATTAAAAAGGGCACTTATGAGAATGGAAAATGGACACTTATTGCACTGAAAGGAAAAAGGGAACTTGTCGAAGGAAAAGGGGCATGTGTCCAGATAAAAGGGGCACTTATCACAGTTGAAAAGGGGAAGAGGCACTTTTACAAATTAATAGGGGCACTTGTCAAAGTAAAAGGGGCACTTGTCAAGTGCTTGAAAAAGTGGGGGGGGGGCACTGTGACCCTGCCCCCCCCCCCCGAAGGGTCGCCTCTGATTACGTATGATGTAATAAGGTTTATTGCTGCTCGGCCCGAGTAGTATGATGTTCTAGAGATAGGTATATAAACCAATGACAATGATATAATTAGTCACAGGTGATGTACATTATGATTCATAGGGTTCATATTATTTTAGGTTGGAAAACCCCTAAAAATCGCACCATTGTTAGATCTGGACTTTAAACATGAATTTCTATATTTTTCAGAATAATATATCTCTTCCAGGCGTAGAGTGCATCTCCAAAATACAAAAACAAATATTACATCATTTCGTATTTCATCCTAAGTCTTATAAAAAGGATACCCTCTTCTGCCAAAAGGATGCTTAACATGAGAATGTGTTTGGAGGCTTAATTCAGCCGCACACCCCTCCCAAACCAAATCTGAGCCTGCATACAAAATATAAATGTATGTTAATAAACCTGTCTATTTATTCATGTATGTTTCTCTCCAGAACCCATAGTTACTAATAAATTCACCTCATACGCATAATGGCATCTCCAAATTGCACGCGTTAGTTCTTGCCATGTCTGCCATGTTTCTGGTAAGATTTAGAGTTGTCTAGAGAAAGCTTCGATCAAGATGTATGAATAAAATTAGTGAACGTATCCCTTACAGCTGTCGAGAATACAGTCATTAGTATCGATAGGTGCCGAACGAACGCAGATATCTAGTAGGCCCACTACATTTTCACTATCAAGATTTGTCGACCGATTAAGTTTGAATAGGCCACTTTCATTCATCTGTTACGAATAATTGTATGCAATATAAGCGAATTGCACACATTGGTTGTTGCTCGGTAGGACAAAAATTATGTCACAGGTGAATGAAATAATTTGTATCAAGGCACTTAACAAAGATTTAGTTACATTACAAAAATGACCTACAAACGTCCTTGCTTATCTCCAAAGGAACAACGTTATGTACAACTCATCCATGCACCATTAGCTCTTTGCTTTGACACATAGATTTAAAGCAATTCTTTGCCACTCTATTTATATAACTGTACAATGGCCGTTGGTATGTATCTAATTACTAGCATGTAGGGCAGTTCAATTTATAAACGTGTATTACAAAAATACTCTGCTATTGTTGTTTGTTCTCAACAATTATTCGGCGAAACTGACGATAAAATCAACTGACGTATTTATGGCAGATTGAAAGCGTTCAATTCACTTTGCAGTTTTCATAGGCGTCGTAAGAGTTTCTAGCTTTTAGCATGTCTTTCTCAAAGATTCATCTCGGCGTTGGTCGAGGCAAGGGCATAAAGGATGTACAGTTTGAATAAAACCTTTGTATTGCCTGTTATTGTCCGTATTGTCCGAATTGTTACGGGTATACTGAGGTTTCTCCGAGATGAATACTTATGAAAACGTGATAGTGTTCTCACGTCGATTTTTACGCCACGATACGAATATAAAGTTAATCACATTCACCGTCCATTTAGTGTAAGCCGAGTAGAAGATATCAAAGCCTTCTAACAATTAGACTTGGATTGCGTTACTACTTGTACCTGCGACAATCAATCCCGTGAATGTGAATGCAACCAACATACCACAGGATTTCAAGCTAATGTGTGCATCCTTTGCAATAATTTTGTTGGCTCTTTGTGCGATATCACCGCACATGAGTGGCGTCTCAAATGCCACGCCAGTCTCTGACGCATTCCCGTGTCAGCAATACCGCCTCATATCCATGGGCGTAAATCCTTACGTAATACCTATTGTTCAGGGGGGGGGGATGAATGAATAGTTCATCCCCCCTGAACAATAGGTATCAATTACAGATTTACGCCCGTGCTCATATCATATGCAACAAGCAAAGGGACTATATTATTTTGTCGATCGCATGCAAGATTGGCGCTATGCTATCGCAAAATTGGCAATGTACATTATGCTTGGGTTTTGTTTCGGATTCACCTAATAAGTAAGAGAGAGAGAGAGAGAGAGAGAGAGAGAGAGAGAAGGAGGAGGAGGAGGAGGGGGGGGGGGTTATTTCTGCCTAAAGGGGAAGGATGGGGTGTTGTTAAAAGGATGGAAAGCCTGACCTCTGATTGAACTAAAGAGAAGTAAGAGAAGAGAGAGAGAGAGAGAGAGAGAGAAGGAGGAGGGGGGGGGGGGGGGGGGGGGGGTTATTTCCGCCTAAAGGGGAAGGGTGGGGTGTTGTTAAAAGGATGGAAAGCCTGACCTCTGATTGAACTAAAGAGAAGTAAGAGAGAGAGAGAGAGAGAAGGAGGAGAAGGGGGGTATTTCCGCCTAAAGGGGAAGGGTGGGGTGTTGATAAAAGGATGGGAAGCCTGAACTCTGATTGAACTAATGAGAAGTAAGAGAGAGAGAGAGAGAGAGAGAGAGAGAGAGCGTTCAATAGACCTGCTTGCTACTATTAGTTCAAGCATATTTATCATTTGAACCCAATGGTTACTAACTATCTAATAGACCTGTTTTCTATAAAAAATAAATAAAAAAAAAAAAAACTGTCCATGTATGCAGGTTTCCTTCATTCAACTCATTCATTTACCTTCTAGAAATAACTGTTATTGGCGGCTTCGAACCGTGGACATCAAAGGTAACAGCACACCAGTAGATTCTATTGTGCAAGCATATAAATCGAGTAATTGTGATCAATATTTTAGAAAATGTTGCTCGAATTCCTCTCGCTTGCCTCCTGTAAAGATAAGCACTGTGCACTGCTCGTTTTATCAGAGGAGTGGTAGCGAAAAATAATTATCTTTACAAACGCATAATTCTCTTTGAAAGTGGCCCGGTAGTTTGCAGCTAGGCAAGAATCTTTTGTCTACGTATCTGCATAAAGATCCAGTTAAGCACATGCCTGACATATTTTCTCCTGGCGGCTTCGAAGATGCGGTACAAAGGGAATGAGCTAGTTAGGACTCCTTCTCTCAAACGAAGACAAAACTAAGGAAAATTATATAAGAGCATCTCTTGACAACTAAAATGGTTAACAACAGCTTGCCCGATGTAGCAACAACTAATTTTATGGGAATAGGATTCCATCCATTGAATTCAAGAAGTGTGTATAACATTAGTAATCTAGAATTTTATGAAATGTAAACATTTCAAAAAGTGTTATATATATATTACCCTTTTAAAATGATACCCTATCTGTTTTTGTTGTTGTTTGTCTTTTTGCAGTCATGGAATGTGCATTACATGTAAATAAGGGGCAAGGTCAAAAGTGAAAAGTAACAAAATGCTCTGCTCTTGTTCGGGTGTGCATTCTTTTTTTCTTTGCATTCGTCACTTTTCACTTTTGACCACGCCCCATATTCTGATGTAGGCCTACTAATCATTATATTGCTGCAGATCATAAACAATATGGTATCATTTTAAAGAGGTATAAATATACCCTTGAATGATACTAGACAAAGCGATACTTATTCCATGAAACGAGAGATATAGCCGACCAATTGTTTTGATTGGTTTGTCAATCCCCTTGTGATATAGAATCTGTCGCCTGTGATTTTTGAAAGCAAACTTTGAGCGTTGGTACTTGAATAATATAGAATGCCAAATTCTCATTAGACATGCTCAAATGGGACCGGTTTGGTAATGTGTTTACGCTTCCAAAACAAATGGACCCTTTAATCGGAGAAAGTCTTTAGAATTCCCTGACAAAGATATTCTTATAGCACCGGGATTATCTTTTTGGTACACCTCGCCAAATTCCAAGAGGGGGTAATGAATTTACATCTCAAAAGGAGGACCCAACTATTTCACCCCCAGCCTTGATCCCTTCTCTCGAAGTTATGTCAAAAGAGTTGGAATTTAAGACTCGCACCGCATAAATATGGTGGCCCAGAAGGAATATCGCGAATTGTGAAATCGCGAAAAATTAAAGACGAAATTTGCGAAGAAATATGCGATGTCGAGAAATTCGTGCTTTTAGTATTATATTACTTTTTTCTCTATATCTCCTCTATTTATCTCTCTATCTCTCTATCTCTCTCTGTCTCCCTCTCTCTCTCCCCTTCCCTCTTTTTTATGCCGTACAATAGTGATGATAATGATGACGAATAATTTAAATTCCGGAGCATGCAAGATGGCCATCTCGGACAAAAATCCCTTTGGTAGGCCTACCTCCACTTCCTTCTCCAAGATCTAGAAAAATGTACATGGCTGATCAGGTTATTTTAATTTTCAGTACTTTTATTTATATTTTAAAGGGTGAGAAAAGTGTTAAAAATTGTCAAATTAGTAACGTAGATCGAAAGTTAAAGCCTCTTTCAAGTATTGAGAGCCCCTAAATAAAATTGTTACAATCCAACAGGTACTCCAAATCCACTGAACACTGTTAAGGTTAAAATCCTTGTTGATTACCCTCAACATTCTATCACCGTGTTACACTTTAAGACCTTACATAATTGTGTTAAGACGTCGCATATTCTGTCCCGAATGTCGCCACCATACATAAAGAGCCATTCAATGATTAACAATGGGGCAGGGAACTCAGCCTTTTATGTGGAGAGAAGGGAGGGGGAGAGGGGGGGGGGGCAGGCTAGAAGCAGATGAAAGTGAACGGTGAAGGAGGGTTTGGGGCAAACAAAAAGATGGGCGCGGTTCGGCTTCACCACGCATGACAGAATCCCGTGTCTTGTCTCCTAGCGTCGTTCTAGCTCTTCCAATGTGCTCGGTTACTGAAGCATGTCAAACCAAAGAAAAGGGTGGAGCGATATAAAACCTTTGCCAACGCCAAAATCACCTCACTCGCTGCTTGGGGAAGTTGTTATACGTAAGAGTCCTTGGTATATTGTGGACTACAGCGCTTGAAGCAGGTTCGTTTGTTGGACATTGTTCAGGTGCCGGTTTCCTCATCCATCACGCTCCTTACCAGTGACTTTTGTTTTCTTCGCTGGAAAAGAACGCTTCAAAATGAGGACGTGGTTACTAGCTGTATTACTTCTCAGCGTGATAGCTGTTACATACGGGCAAGGTAAGATTATGGCCGCCGTTGCGTTTGCGTGTTTTTGTAATATAAATAACGCATTCCGCCTGACATAGCAACGTGTCGCTTAAAATGTGAACTTCAGAAATTAAAGGAGTACACCCTGATGAATGCATCAACTTTTCATGAATTTATCTATTAGAAGAAAACGTGTGACTCATTATTGAAACCATACTTTTCGTGGAAATTGGGTTGAGAGATTCCTTATGAAATATTCAAGATTCTGACAATCCAAGGCTATGACGTTAAGTCTACGTTGAATTTCAATTATTGAAAAAAAAATCGATTAACAACACGTTAATTACTTCTGTCCATTAATGGATATTCTTACATAAGCATGTATAACTTCCCAATTAAACAGGTAAGTCCACAAAAGAGGGACATTTAGATTTGTATCTTTTAAATGCATCTGTTTAGCCTTATAAACCTAACTTGTAGATTTCACTTTAAATCTTAATACATGTACTTTAAATCTTAATTTGTTAAATCGCCACGAGACCCCCAAAATGACAAACGATCAAACTTATTTGTTATGGTTTCAACTTCTCCGATTTCTCTCGTGTCTGAGATGTGTTTGCTTGTGCTTACTGTTGTTATACTCCGAAATTGACCTTCAATTGACATTTTATTCAATAGTACCAGTACCGCTTAAACCAATGTGGTTATTCATCAATATTCTTCATGGACATCCATACACCCGTATCTTAAAAACACCCTCTTTTATGATTGCACTTCTTGGCTCAGATTATAATACGTTCCAGATTCAGATTGTGGAACTTTTATTTACAACTGCTGACGCAAAAATATATTTAAAAGTTGCAAACTCTTCTAAAAAATCTTAGTGAGGTGAATTTTTAACACCAAAATGTATTTATAAAAATGTGCAGAGATGAAATTTAGATGCTTGCACATGACAAACACGACAAATACATCCCTTCATCTAACAAATATATTATCCGTTCTTGTGAGCACAGTACCGCAACACATGCATTCGGCACGAGAACGAAAAGTGCATTTTGCATAATTTCAGTCACCGGTATGACATAACCAGACTTGACGCCATTTTGTTAAACCATGTCTTACAAACAGTTGCGAATAATCGCATCTTGTTTTCGATTGATATCAATCGCAACTTTTTACATAAGAGACGAGACTGCAAACTTGCGATTGATTTTCAGACTTGCGATAGATTCGGATCATTGCAACCATATATATCTTTAAGACGGGGCCCAGAGGCAGAGGAACGTTTGGGCAGTATGCTTTATTTCAATTAAGCGTGTACATGTATTCAAGTAGGCAACAAGAAAAGGCACCCTTCACCCGAGTGCGTTTGAATCGCAGTGGGAAAGTCCGAGATTAGCGTTAAATGTGCACTCGGGTGTACTAGAAAAGGTACTATACTTCCACATGTGAATAGTGAAATGCAGTATACACATACAGATCGTCGATCAATGATTTATTCTCCGTCGATACACCTCATATCTTATACTTTAAGGATAATCAATCCTAATCAATGTCCAAATGCATTCCGTATATCGGTCATTTCCCATTTAATGTATTCGTGAATGCATATAAAAACCATATGGCACTAAAAATGCTTAAGTGTAGTATTTTTGTGAATAATTATTTACAATACTTTACTTCATCGACCGGTGACGGTGATTGTCATTTGAGTCATCTATCAATTTCTAGAGTTCTATGAATGGCAAGGTGTGTGTGGAGAGTGTATTCACGTTAGTATCCTTCATGGTCATAATTTATATGGATAGTATTTTTCCTCAATGGATGTCTACTTGTCTGTTTTGGAAGGCTTTAACAGATAGGCAGTAACGATCTCCACCGGTAGCCTATTTAAGACGAAATAAAAGTAAAGTAAATCGCCATATTCATTTCTCAAAAAATGCTCAAGGCTCTTGAGTGTACATGAATGAACTGAACTATAAATAAATATAAATTGAAATACAGAGTACATGGACAATAAATGTAGTTCTGATAAATATTATAGGTTACACGTACACCATTTCTTATTGATCCCACACCTTATGACAGGTTTGGTGTCAAAACAGCCACGCCCATTTGACCCTATTAGTTTGCTTGCGAAGGTGTGTTTAATAGAAGTAACGACTATTTGAATATGTAGATGTAAGATGTCAATGCATTAAACTAACAGTAAACTCCAACTTTATAACGAAGAACGTGAACATTGCACGAATGAAAAGCATTTCTTTGGGGTCTACTATGCCACGGAATACGCTACGGTAACCGGATATTCACACGCAAATAAAATAAAATTGGGATCCCAAATGCAAACTTTATAATCGTCTTTGAGATACGAGAGTGAGAGTCTTGTGAAAATGGGGCATTCTTGAAGACTGCTACTGTTGCTACTTAGTTTTAGAAATGTTTCTCGACTCAAGTTGGGTCATGACAGCATTTTAAGAAAATCTGTCAATATTGCTTCTAAAACTAACATTGCACACTGTTTACTTTTAACTCCGTAAGAAATTCTTCAGGACACGGGTCTCTGTGCTCTTATTGTGGTAAATAATAGATCTATATGTGAAAGGTTACTGGCATTAGCAATGAATTGATTTATTTATTGCACAATGCAATATCCTAGCTATACTAAAGATGAGCTAAACATATATAATTACAGATAAATATACATCCATATTAAGGCCAATACAAAGTAGGGACAACTTAATACAATTTTAAAAAAAAAATCATTAAATAGTTATTTAATTTTGAACATAATACCAGTTATGGTCATGCGATTGCATTGTGAAAGAAACGTTGTGGAATCGATCAATAAAGGTTGATCATCCAGCATCTAGCATCTGCAAGGTTCTGGAATCATCAAAATGATAAGAAATTTGGCCCATTCTTCGTAAAGTTACAAGCACTATACACAGAAAGATGTATATGGGACTACCCTATATCTCTCACAGACCATGGGAGAAACAAATTTACCAAATTTATGAATTAGTTTCCCGGCAAATTTTTTATCATGTTTTAGTCAAAACATATTCTTTCACATGATTGGTAATGAGAGCTTCCATTTCATTTTTTGAAATTGGGGCGTTTCCAATACTGGTCTTGACCATCTCGCTTCCTGTGGAGGCAAGCTAGAGGTAAAACAAAAATCCGTTGTATAATTGGATTACAAAACCATCCAGTTTTTATAACATACATCCACCCGTTTTGTCAATTTAGGGAGATTGATGTGATTATTTGTTTATTTCTGTTATATTGAATATTTCATTGTTGGAACAATAATTTGCAAATTTTGTTTTGTTTGTAAAGATATGACTACAGCATAACACCAACAGTGATGTACATATTTTTCTGGATAAAGCATCGCAATATACCATGCAAATAGACAACTTTTTACACTTCAATTATCAGGAGGAAAATGAAACGACGGAGAAAAAATTATGATTGCTACCTTTCAGCAGATATTATGGACATACAAAATACTAACTTATCGTTGCATCACCAATATATTCGCGACAGAAACTAGGATGAATTCTTCCTTTCATTCTGCCCAAATACAGGGTGGGGTCGTTATCTCATTTCCAATTGAAATTCTTGGAGTTACGTAATCACTGGAAGGACGCATTCTCTCTGATCTTCACACATACCATATAACGCAGGAATCCATTGTGCTTGAATATAAAGAAACCAGAATACAAAGGCGTGCCCTTTAACCGAAGGCTTGTCATTACATAGTATACCCGCAAGGGCTGAATCATCAAAGGGCATGATTATCTCACTACTTTAAAACCAAGTTTTTGTGGAAAAGGAATTACGAGCCATTTATTCCCTTTATAGTAATCATTCACATACTAGCCTATTTATTCAATTTGTATTATATAATTATTCTTAAGTGCCACTTGTACTAGATTCGAGGCAGATTCAGCAATTGTATTTACTCTTTCTTTACCTACCTCTCCACATCTCTCTCTCTCTCTCTTGTGTTTTCTTTTTCAGGTGAATGTGACAGCGATCCCTGTGAAAATGGATCAACCTGTCAGGAGGGTGAAGGGTCGTATATCTGCCAGTGTCCCATGGGATACGATGGACAAAACTGCGACCGTTTCACAGGTAAGAACCTTTTAAAGCAATTCCAACCGCATCTAAGATTCCGGTATCTAATCTGGGCTCCGTGTCATAAACTACCTGTCAACAACTCATGCCAAAATCCTATAACACATTAATCTCGGCCGATCAAACGTAATTATTTCCGGTAGCTTTTATATTTTACTTTTACGTTTTATTGGTAACGCTTAATGAAACGGGCACTATGAATATAACGGACAAAGAAAGAGGACAAAATATACAGTTCCTCAGGTAGACAAAGGAACATCCCTTCCCTGCTATTATGTAAAAAATGTGTAGAACAGGTGTCACATGCATATTCACCTGTTCTACACATTTTTACATGATAATAGCAGTGAAGGGGTGTTCTTTTGTCTACCACAGCATTTGTTGAGGGTAGAGTGAGGAGCTGTATATTTTGTCCTCTTTCTTTGTCCGTCATTTTCATAGTGAGGGCCATGCATTTAGTTTATATCCTTACTAAAAGGCCCGGATCGGACCCAATATTCTGACAGTGACATGGCAATTTTGCATACCTAAATACTTGGTATCGTATGGTACACCATACCAGATACATTGGACTTGCTCTCTTAAAACCTTAGTTATAACTACATCTAGACTCTCGATTATGGGACTGTTGCTGATTTTTCTTTTAAAACTATATTACAAAATCGGCATCGTAAGTTATTACTACAAGATTGTATAATCTGTTAGGTGTAGTTGTCATTATTTTGATTGCATTTTCTTTAAGAAATAGATGACAAAGTAACCCGAAATAACGAAATACTAAGCCCAAGTAACTTAGGCTAAGAATTAATACATGAAATTTAATATCACTGTTGCTATCACTTATTCTACACACCAGGTTCAAACTGCGGATACAATGTCTTCGATGCCAACGGTATGATCGATTCACCTAACTACCCGGCCATGTACAACAACCGTGCCGATTGTCTTTATCTTGTTCGTATCACCAAGGCTCGCAGCATCACTTTCACAATCGAAGACTTCATGACTGAGGTCTTCAAAGGTAATTAACTCAACGAATATCATTGGTATCTTGCAGTAGAACTCGTGAATAAAGTCGATATTGAATCCCGATGGCGCTACTATAATGTTCATTCTGTATCTATGTATGCTACGATCGTTGGGGTACGAGGTAAGCAAAGGGGGCAGGGGCTGTCGTCCCATGATTATTATGAAGCGGTATAGCAATAATTAGCAATAATCGGGCAACCGTCAACTCATATTCGGGCAGCGGGGTGACCCCTTTAGTCTCTTGTATTACCTCGTGCATTTGTATTAATCGTCAATATGGATGCAATGTACTTATTTTTCTCACCAGGGTCTATAAGTCAAAATAGTTAGGCCTACACATTGTGATAAATTGCCATTTCCTTGGATATAGTTTTTGTTTCCCTTATATACATTTACGAATTATTTTACACGTAACTTGTAATATTGAAAATTATATATAATAAAAATGGGTCCTCATGACGTCACTGCATAACATAAAGACATCACTTGTTTCACCACGTTTTAAAATCACCACATGTCTCTTTTTTTTTGTATAGACGTTGTCGAGTATGGTATTGGGCCAGAGGCAGACTTCAACCAGGCCCTCGGTTCGTTCGAAGGTAACCTGACACAAGACGACATCATCCCAGCTCCTTTCACTGTCCAGGGCGATCAGGCTTGGTTCATCTTCAGTACTGATCGTAATATCGTCAACAGGGGATTCAGAATTACATTCTCATCAGGTAAGACCTTAATATGTTTGTATAAAACAAAAATTCTCTTAAAAATACTATCGGGTCCATTTTAAAGCTCCACTGTACTACTTGAAGCTACTTGCTCCCTCTATATAGAACACAATGCCTAATCGGTGACCATTGGTCCCCCATGATCCTCTATTTCTTATGTTAATCGAGAGCTGAGTTGATAGCCACCTGTCAGTGACCACCCTGGGTTGTCTAATCCCTCCTAGCCAAATTAGTACAGATGGCCTTTAATCTAAAGATTTTTTTATAAGGTTTTGTAAATTTATCCCCCCCCCAAAAAAAAAAAAAATGAATATGAAAGGGACAGAACATGATAATTTAAGAATGATCTATTTTTTAGTAACATATTTTTGACTAATGAATGAATTTATCCATCATTTGTATAGATGGAGACGATTGTGATCCCAACCTTTGTCAGAATGGCGCTGCCTGTACTGACCTCGTGAATGATTATGCTTGTACCTGCCCTCCAGGATTCACGGGTAGAAACTGCGAAATCGGTAAGCACCAATTGGTCCATATTCATAAAACCTTTTCATGGGCTGTAGGTACTTAGTTGACACATAGGCTTGGTGAGGTATAATGAATATGAGCCACGTTTACTAGGGTACTGCAATTCACTTCATGCATATTTCTCTCCTGAACTGCTACAGGTAACTATTCAATTCACCTGCTATGCCTAATGGCATTCAATTCTAGCATATTTTTTTGTCCAACTGATAACAACTAATATATGGGATTCGCAATCTAAACTTTAAAAATACAATAATGTATAACAGGATAACGAGGTAAACTACCAATTCAAATGCTAATTAAAAATGATCTATTGAACAAATTAAATTTAGATTCCAAGCTCGTTCAATGACTATTTAAAATTGAATTATTGTAGTTACGATATCAAGGCTGTTATATGAGAATGAATTCTTCCCCTCCATGATTAATGAAGAAAAAACACGATGAAATGGACTCGTTAAACCTGTGACCCTTAACCTTGCAGATATTGACGAATGTGCCAGTGATCCCTGTCAGAATGGTGGCGCCTGTGTCGATGGAGTCAACGGCTATGTCTGTAACTGCGTCCCAGGATTCGACGGAGATGAATGTGAAAACAGTAAGTCAACGGTGTCTTCCTACAATCTAGAGATGATTGGTAACTGTACAATCGAAGAAAAGCAGCGACTAAAGACATTCTGAAGCTTTTTCAGAGTAAACCTCATGTAAAGTACATGTACCACGTTGTCATTCTTTCCCGCTCCCCTTTTCCCGCCAATGCCAGATTCTAGACTCACCTTACGGTGCAATATTAAGTTTCATACAATCCTTTGTATATGTGCTTGGGAACTTGGGAATCGACTTAAATAAGAATAGGAAGCAGTATACATTTAGCTACAGGACCTATACTTGGTAGTGTTTGGGCTTAGTGTTCACTCTATCTAGCGGCTGAAAACATTTTTCGACCACATCGTTATAGTATCCATGGAAGGACAGTGGATATATCATCTGTTTTGAGCCACGAGGGCACTCACTTGTTATAACATAATCATAACTATATATCAGATTATATGTATGGCATCGTCATGGGAATAAAAGACTAATTTCATTTCAATGATTTTCAATACGATAAAGAAACTTATGTGCGAGTCCAATCAATTTATAATGGATAACTTTTTAATTGCAGATATCAATGAGTGTGCAAGCAGCCCTTGTCTTAACGGAGGCATCTGTGTTGATGGCGTTAACATGTTTGAGTGTACCTGTTTAGCCGGCTTCACTGGCGTACGATGTGAAGTCAGTAAGTAAAATCATTTCTCTCATCTAATCCCGGAAATTTTACGGCGACAACTAACCGTATATAGGTGTCTATTCTAGGGCGATGTGTGATTATACAAATTGTAGCTTTTAAAGAGTTTCATGAATTATAACTTCCAAAAGGCTTTGAGCTCCTTATCTTATTTCAATACTGCTATGAAGGGAGACAATATTTGCAGGAGAACAATTTAGATTACCGTATTATTCAAGTTACATAACGACTAATTGCCATGTTTAGAGAGTTAACAAGGACATTAACTATGAACGAGTACATAGTATCAATAATGATTTGTAACTAAACATCGCAAATAATAAGGGCATGTTATAGACTTCATATAATTTTCCACGTTTTGTTAGTCAAAATTGGGGTATAATCTTTACTTTTCCCAGATGTAATCACCTTTCATATTTTTGAATGATATCCTATTATAAAATCTACGAATAGATGCAAATATTTCATGAAAATTCTTTCTTCCTTTCTAGACATTGATGAATGTGCAAGTGCCCCTTGTCAGAATGGTGGTATCTGTATTGATGGCATCAATGGATACACCTGCTCATGTCCTCTCGGCTTCTCCGGAGATAACTGTGAAAACAGTAAGTATACCCCAACAGGGATAGGTTAGGGTTAGGGTTAGATTTATCTAGATTTCTTGAAAGCTAATCCTACATTCTGATAGATGGAACTGCAAATTTAGTATTTTAAAAATAATTACAAAAAAAAAAGAAAAAAAAAGAAAATCGGCTTTCAAACATTGTGAATTGATAATATGTAATGCATTGTCATACCGAAACTAGACCGACAAAAAGGCAAAAATAAATTACATCACCACGGTTTTGTCAGACGTTAGCCATAGCTGGCATGTTTAATATCATGTGCACTGAATGTTACAACAGCAAAATACACTCTAGACTGTTTCATAGCGGATTAGACAATCATAGCCTGATATCTGATCAAAGGGCAGGAATACATCTCATTTTTCTGAATACCCACTTATTTTCTTTGGGGTGAGGATTTCTTTAATCACCGGTTAGTTGAGAAATATGCTCGTCATATGAAGTGGCGAGTAGGTGATCTTTCAATGTTAATATGCATGGCTATTGATGGTTCGTTTAGGGCCGAGCTCGAGTAGGAATTGACCTTAAATCCTTGTTATTATTTTGCATTTTACCAGATGATGATGAATGCTCTAGCATCCCTTGTTTAAATGGTGGAACCTGTGTGGATCTTGTCAACGCCTACATGTGTGTCTGTGCCCCCGGCTGGACCGGCCCTACCTGCGCTGACAGTAAGTATCGAGAGCCTGCTCGAACATCTTTGAGATTTATATTTTGTCACCTAACCCCCAACAGAACATTATTGACAGTGTCGATACATAAAAGTGTATTTAGTCATTCAGAAACTCTAGGATTACCGCAAAAAGGTCCTCAGTTTTTTTGTAAAGATTAAATAGAGATGAATAATGATTACACCTACAGACATTCATATATCTGGAAAATTATTCATGTAATTATCAATTAAATATTGCATCAAATAGAACATAATCTAAACAAGAGATATCATCTTTAGTAGTTAAATAAATCGTTAAAATATCAGAAGAAAACTCATACCACTTATTCTACATCGCCTCAAATAATTAGGGCTTATCTCACAACTATATGGTAATAACATCATTTTCCCTCCCGATATTTCTTTCTTCATGAAACCTCTGTAAGGAAATATGCTCCATCATTTCATATCTCTAAATCTGTCCCAGTCATTACTACACGCTAATGCTCTGTACCTCTTTTCTCTCCCTGCAGACATTGACGAGTGTGCTAGCGCTCCTTGCCAGAACGGAGGTGTGTGCATTGACGGTGTGAACGGATACATGTGTGACTGTCAACCTGGATACACCGGAACCCATTGCGAAACTGGTAACCTTTGACACATTTTTGTTTCAAAAAAGAAATGCGTGTACTATATGCGTCAGAACGGATAAGACTTGAGAAAGGATCCTTTCCCCCCTTCATGTTATGCATTCGATATATTCTGGTTTATAATTACATGACTCGTACTATTTGACACGATATTCAACACCATGTGGTCATACTATCGACAATATTAGGGACTTTTAGATTTGCACGACGAGAACGTGGACTTCCACGTGTGACATCATTTTAAGGTAATGTGACGTCCTATTAAGGCACTGGCAGTGCCAAGCAGTGTCTTAAAAGGACGTTTCATTGCCTTAAAAGGATGGCAGTCCACGTTCTCGTCGTGCAAATCTAAAAGTCCCTCATGACCAGTGTATACCTCATATTAGGTGTGTTCACACATGGTGTTGAAATGTGTGTTTAAAAAGTAATCTTAAAACGTATTTGCTTTATTCGGCATGTAATCAATTGTTTTGTCATTTTTGTATGTTCTATCTTCTGTTCATTTGTTTATAATGCAGATGCTTTTAATTTGATGTCTTGTTTTGTTTCACAAGCGCGCCTTGACCATTTGATTTCAAGTAGATCCGGCGCCTTACAAATTGCATACACTATTATCAATATGATTGGTATGCACAAGCATCATCTAATATTATTGGTATCTTTATCATTAGTATTATCATTACTACTTTTATTATTTTTGTCATGGTCTGTTTCCACAATGCTGCCTTTTTTATGGATCTAAAACCACTCTTTTCTTAATGTTCAACATTCTCATCTCACAGACATCGACGAGTGCGCAAGCGCCCCCTGCCAAAATGGAGGTGACTGTGTGGATGGAGTCAACGGATACGTCTGCATCTGCGCTCCTGGATTTGACGGACTCAACTGCGAGAACAGTAAGTCTGGTTTTTCTTTTGCTCCAGCGAGCTCTATTGAATTATTCTTTGTGGTGTATGGATAGAGTCTTAGTTAACACATTCAAAAGCAACCAATGACAGAGACAATTGTTTGTGAATTCATGCATCTTAGATGAACCACCTCTAGTAACTACATGCATAAGTTTATGTACATGTATGGATCCGTGTTTCAAGATAAAGAAAAAAGGGAACTTACTTTTAGGTATGTAAATCATACGTTGCATATTTTAATTGAAGCATATCATAAAGCAAACTCATGTGAACTGTAAGAACCGTGTGGACAATTAAAAAGAAAGTCGCATCAAATGTATTGTTACCGAGAACACATTGCTTATCCTCTGAATTCCATTTCATCACTAGATATTGACGAATGCGCCAGCCGTCCCTGCCAGAACGGAGCTGTCTGCGTTGATGGTGTAAACGGGTTCGTCTGCACCTGCTCTGCTGGCTACACAGGAGTCCTTTGTGAAACCGGTAACGTACACAGATAATACATAGCTTCGTATTCGTTTCTCGGTTGAGGAACATACAAAGAAAGTGTCTGATCTCGAAATTAAATGCCATACAGTATATTCATTATACTGGATGTTATTGAGTGATCTGAACTAAAACATGTTCAGTTTACCTGCTCTCCTACAAGAAAGAACATTATTTCAGCAAAAGAGGAATTTCACAGCTCACCAAAGATTTTGGCTATAAATAAATTTCCAAAAGCGAGAATTATATCCGGCTGCAGTAGGCCTACAAATATGATCGAACTGATATTTTAAAAATGTTTCTTTGATTGCAAGATTATTAAGTGTACCCATTTGCATGTCCTGTTTATATAATAAACCCATTCATTAACCCATTTTCTTCACTTGTATTTGGTCTTGTAGCTAATTCGTTGCTAACATCTTTCTAATCTACCCATATGCTATAACACCGTAGCTGGTATAGTTTTCGTCATCGTAGTTTGCAGATATGCTTTCTTTCTTACGACAATTATATTATCTGTTTTCTATCTGTATAACTCCTACGATGTTGTCGCATTTTCGTCCAAGTGAGGAACACAGTAGAAATTGATTCCGCACTTCGACATGAATTTGTAATGTCTTTCAAGGAGTTACACTGTATAAAGTTCCCCTGTATGCGGTGTTAATTTCACTCTTCTAACATCACCATGCGTAGACTTCACAGTGGTACTCTGTGCCATCTCTGTTCCCCCACCTCACCAGTGTATATGGGCGCACACAGGTGTGAGCTTGAACGTGCGAGTGTTTTGAGTGGTTGTGAAACAGTGACAGTGTGCCTGTTTTGTAGGTATGATGGGTGTATGGTTTGGTGTGCATTTGCATGGCGTGGTGTGACTTGTTTTATGGTAGTAAAATATCTAGGAAAATAATTGCCAGACGTAATACAAATTCTGAATATATTGGTTAGGTACAGAGTTCAACGAAACACTTTATAGAGAAACTTTGCATCTATAACCATGGAACCATTCTATTTACTTAATATAAGGTAATGGATTTGAACTGTCTCTATATAACCAACATTTTTTCCAAGCCAATTTTGGTATTAAGCAGGGAATATATTCAGAGCCCAATTCTTCTACCCCCTTGGTTTCTGGAGGTGTCGTCTATAAAGCAGGCAGGGTGATGGCAAACTTTGAAAAGGTACTCCCCTCCCCTTTATTTCATTCAATGCGCTTCTTTGATATATGCATTCATGTATTGTGGACGATATCTCTTGGTATAGACAGTTTTCAACCTGTAAATAACCATGAATATACTTCGACACGAAGAAATATATCATATTCTTGCCAACAAAACTTTATCATTAATGGTGGCTTATATATATATATATATATAGCCCTGGGCTCAGTCTTATTAATCGCAACTTATTTTTCGAATAATATCAATCTCATCTATATACACAAATTTCCGATTGATTTGGATCAATCGCAACTTTTGTTAGACCGGGTCCTGGTAATGAGAATTTAATAATGATGGGCCAAAATTAGTACATTTAAACAGTTCTTAAAGTGTACTGATGTAAAACCAGTTCTTTGAAAATCTTCCGAAGCTCTATCTGCAGCCCCATTTATTCAAATAAGGATACGATACTTTTTCATCTCGGCTTTAGCGTTAGCATTGTCTTACTATTTGTTTTTTTTTAGCATTGGTTTCAATATATTTCTTTTTGCAAAATTTGAATGAGATTGTTTAAGCTAGCTAAAGGATATCAATTAATGGACAATATTTGCCAATAAAAAAAAAACATTTGGCGCTTTACAGGATGGAGCCTTGGTGCTATGATAGTATTTTATGAAATGATAATCGGATGTTGATCTACATGTAAATATTCATTGAAACCAAGACATTGAAATTGCGCACTGTTCTACACATAGAACTGGAGAGCTGTTATTCCAACCAATGCCAGAACGGTGCAATCTGTGTGGCGGACTTAAATAGCTACTTCCGGCTTCGAAGGAGTTAATTGTGAACGTGGTAAGATATTACTTGGAATATCCATTCAAGTATATATGACCTGATGAATTTTCGTTTCGTTTAAAGCTGGATTCTTTAGAATATATTTTAATGTTGAGCAGCAGCTTTATTAGGGCAAATGCTGTGATGAATTTCGTTCAGCAAGGACTTTGTACAGTCATGACGTATGATGTGCATTTCAACCTTGGGCAAATAATTTGTGTGGATTTTTTTCCTCATGATTATAGTTCTTATTTTTTTTTCTTTTCTCTTACATACGCATATCTTTTCAGTATCATTGATCATCGTGAAAACAGTTAGTTTGCATGATTTCAGCAGATTAGACAATCATATTTCATCGAGTGTTCGCATATTTTAGAGCAATCATATGTAGAAAAGACTTCTCAATCTCTCGCTTCAATGACGTGGCAAAATATTCATCATTTTCTGAAATCTAGAATGCATATACATGCGCTTTGCTCAACTCCCTTTTCTTACTATCGCTCACAAAAAAGAAGACATTTTCTATGTTTTTGCTGTAGAAACACACGTTTAATTATTAATAATCCGTTTGTATGCATTTCTGTGCACAGTGACCGATGAATGCCTTTCCAATCCTTGTCTTAATGGTGCGACTTGCATTGATCTTCAAGCTGGATATGAATGTATCTGTCCACCTGGATTCGAGGGGACACGTTGTGAAATCGGTGAGTTAGGTCATCCTCCCCCCCCCCCCTTTTTTTTTTTGTTAAGGGGAGCGTTATTATAAAAACTTGTTCAAAAATAAAAACAAAAATGGTAATGAAAAAATGTACAAACCGTACGTCTAGGCGATTAAGATGAATACACATGTCTTGTGTCCTGTACAAGCAAGTGCTTTTATTTGTTAACGAAATTATTCGATCATTTAAACAAAACCCTATTACTTTCTTTGCTAATTGCTTCAAAAATATTAGTTAATGCGTTCAGCTGCCCGAATTCTTGTACATCTGTATGTCCATAATGGTTTTGCCATTGTAATTTATTTTATAACCTGTATTCAAACCTAGGAAAACGGCTATCGTCCTCATCGTCTTCAGTAGTTTTCATATGAGAAAGATACCCTAAGAGATCTCCATAAAGAGTATAAATAAAATGAATTTCATTTCCGGTACTTTCTTTCAGACACGGACGAATGTGCATCGAATCCGTGTTTAAATGGCGGAGCGTGTGTGGAAGGAATCGCTTCGTACACCTGTGTATGCGTGCAAGGGTTCACAGGAGTGCGCTGTGAAACAGGTAGCACAGTGACATGATAAAGGGACATTTCAGCTTAAAATTTATGATTTTATTTTTAATTGATATCCACGCTTTTTATTGAAACATTATTAGCAATTTCTTGATAACGTTGGAAGTTAGTGTGATGTGTCTTCCGTGTGTTTGATCTTCCCTTTAGTTTCACATAGAGACGGGACACACCAGATAGTGCAATTAAATGACTAAAATAATTGCTATACCGGACTATAGACCCAATTAAATGGCATGAGTTATGATCAAGATGGCCGATTGTTTTGATTTCTTGACGAGTGATCATGTGACTGTGTGAATGCTTGCAGTGACTATAATCTGTTTTTTCCTTTAAAAACAAAAATTTGTCCGTGAATGTTTTGATTTGTTGTCAAGCACTTATATGCTAACAAACTAACCATATCACATGGAGAGGGACTATTTTTTTTTGGGGGGGGGGGCAAGGATGTCCCTCATTAACGGCATATGTTCCACGTCAGCGAGCACGCTTCAGCAAATTCTTAGCTACGCTGCCCAATGCTCTTTGTGCATGCAAGACAAGCTACTATGTCGAATATTGCCGACCACATGAACATATGTGATTATAGTATAATAATAATAATAATAACTTTTACTTATATAACGCTTTTCATAAGACATTTATATCAAAGCGCTTTACAATTAAGTTATAGAGCTTGCATTAGACCAAATATTGCTACGTTTGAGGTGTCATGACCAGTGGATTTTTTTTTTTTTTTTTTTTTTTTACAAACTCTATTGAGATTATATCGACCGTTATCAATTATTTTTTGTTTGATCATTCAAATTCCCCAATTATTTGAAAGTGACCTGTGGTAAAACTCTATTTGCTTCAAGAACGCATCTCGATGCCAATACTAACCCAACTTTAGTATGACCCGAATTAAGTTTACGTGATCATAACCCTCTATGTCTGCATTTTATAACCTTACATTCACTTGATCCTGTCTTATTCGTGCGTTAAACGTCTTTTTGTTTGCAAAACCATTTACAATCACAACCACTCTTTGCACGATAGCTGTCATACTATTCCATTCCTCGTGTCATCAGTAATTAGACAATGAGTGATTTCAAGTTTTTTTTTAAATATTTACATCCTTTCTTGGTTTTACCCTTAGATATCAACGAGTGTGCTAGCATGCCTTGTCTGAATGGTGGTGTTTGCACGGACCTAGTGAACGGGTACATCTGCACATGCGCAGCAGGCTTCGAGGGAACTAATTGCGAGACAGGTAAGGACTGGAAATCTTCTTGAACAAGAAAAGTTGTTTAAAAATTGTTCACACTCACGTAGTTTAGTTGCCCTAGCTGTCAATATAAACTGCCATGAATCAATTATTCCAACTGTGTGCTAGAAAGTTCCCATAGTTTTGCATTAAAACAAAAAGCCCTATATATTGTAGAATCTTTTCCTCACATATCATTAATTATTTAAGTTAAATATTATTTTGGGGTAATATTGCATTGATAATTAAAACATCAAATTTGAATATTGCGAATTTGCTTTGAGCATTTCTTAAAGTTATTTACCAACTAAATTCAATAAAATCTGTCGAATAATGTGGAGGCTTTCCAAAACGTTGGTTTTTGAATACCCATGGTAATTTTCTAATGTTCTGTTTTATTTTTCTAGACACCGACGAATGTGCTTCATTCCCATGTCAAAACGGAGCCACGTGTACAGACCAGGTTAATGGATACGTGTGCACCTGTGTTCCAGGATACACGGGAGTCCTCTGCGAAACAGGTAAGAATTAATTACGTCAGAGCTATAAGCTAATCTTCAGGTTTTGTAAAGTCAATGCCTTCCGAGAGACTGGCTCTAAGTTCTAAATTGAACTGAAAAATAGTAAGTTAGACTTGCTAGAAATCACCTTCAATGAAATTAACACATGTGATTAACATGTTATAGCGTATTGATTTACATAATTAACGTTTGATAGTATCCAAACGTGCGTAGGGTCATACTACATTTCAAGGCATCAATACAAATAACCCAAAGGATACTGGGTTGCCAACGTCATGGTTAACCATTTACCCCATAAACCCAGTCGCCAAACGTAATGCCTTCATTTTCGTTCATCTTGCAAGAATAGTTTGGAATATAACTGTTGTTTTGTTCTACCATCTCGTTCCAGATATTAACGAATGTGCCTCATTTCCTTGTCTGAATGGAGGTACTTGTAACGATCAAGTCAATGGATACGTGTGCGTGTGCGCACCAGGATACTTCGGTGTCAACTGTGAAACAGGTAATTGTACAGTCCTTGGGGAAAACCACTTATCGGGTTCAGTGACACAAAGATGCAACTCCATATTTTGCCAAAATGCGCATTTGATGTCAAAATGTTCAGAAAATTTGGGCTTTACAGGAAACAACAAAAAATTAACTCTACCCAACTAGCCATTGAAGTCAATGGCTAGTGAAACATAGACTAAACTCCTAAAGGCCCAAGTGCTCAGTGACACATAAACCAACTTTTCTGACCCCTCGATATACAAACATATTCATGTCAATAGCAGCCATTAGAGCTTGTAAACAATATGAATGGGTTTTATCGTAAACGGTTTTCTTGAATGCATTTCATATGTCCAGAAAAACCTTTACCATTTTCAATTTAGAAATAAGATCGTTCTGTTTAAATTTGCAAATATTACATGTAAAGTGTGTTATCAGAGAGTCTGATATTGAATTGAGCTTTTAGCGTTTACACCCCATATGGATATTCGAGAAATAAAATTATCTGCAAATTGATTCCACATCAAATCTGTTAATTCATATTATGAAGAAAAATTATAAATTGTTCTCTTTTTTCAGATCGTGATGAGTGTGCATCTGCCCCATGTTTGAATGGTGGAGCTTGTATGGATGTAGTGAATGGATTTGTATGTACTTGCTTACCCGGATGGGAGGGAACCAATTGTGAAATCAGTAAGTACTATCTTGTTCTATAACTCTGTCCTTGTTGTCTATCTTGTTCAACTTGTTTTTGTTTTTTCGCCTCGCTGCACAATCGCTTGCTCGACACACATGCAAATTTGCACGAAACAATATGGACCGATTGATGGAATGATTGCTTTGTGCATTGAAAAGTGTCAAGTAATCTTGAAGCCTTTGATATATCTATATCATGATAAATACAGCGTTGCCCAGGTGGATATTTGTTGGGATTAAGTAGAATTAAAGATTAGATAAGAACGAATCCAAGAAGATTATTAGAATACCTAAATAGTTACATAATGCTTTCATTAATTATGTTCATTCTACTAAGTTGAAACTGATTGTGTGTTTTTTTCCTCATGCAGACACGGACGAGTGTGCAAGCTCTCCATGCATGAATGGTGGTCTCTGTGTTGACCAGGTCAATAGCTACGTCTGCTTCTGTCTGCCTGGTTTCACTGGTATTCATTGCGACACCGGTAAGTCTACTGCAGCAAAAACAAAAAACAACATTCATTCAACAACAAATCTTTTCTTTTCTTTAGCATGGAAGACACTAAGGGATATTCTCTGAATTCTCCTGTAATATCATCCCAACATAGGACAGCCATAACATACTCTACAATCAAGATTTCTTTGGGGGCCAATGATTAGTATGAATAATATACACGTGAAAACATTACCGTGTATACTATTTGTATATTTTGTATAGATGCGGGTTAATGTCTAATCTTTTACTTTGAACAAAGTATCTCCTGCACACACTCTTCTGACTTTTGCACCACTGAGCAGCCTACAAAAACATTAGTCTTTAGTGCTTTTGTGTCGTCAATGTAGAGATTTCCCGTTTCGTATTTTCCCATGTGAAGAAATGCTGTATAAAAAAAAACATCAAGTTATAAAATACAACAATATATGCACAAATATTCCACACATACCAGACAATTAATAAGGCATATAATACATCTTAAATTCATTTGAGTTTGATATATTTTTTTAATACAACTCGTATCATCTTTCCAACTTTTACCCTCAGAAATTGACGAGTGTGCAAGCAGCCCATGTCTAAACGGAGGACAGTGTATCGACCGAGTTGACTCGTACGAGTGCGTTTGCGCTGCTGGCTACACTGGTGTCAGATGCCAAATCAGTAAGCTTCGTCACCTTTACATTTCTATCTCAATTACTCTAGCAATTTAATCCCAATCTCTTCGAATGCAAAATACTTGTATTTATTTTCTTTTTCTAAGGCTGTCACAAGCTGTCCTGGTTTCGAATATCTCCGATCACCAATTAAATATGAAGACAAATTATTGTTCTGCAATAAGATATAGCATATAGTGAAACGTTGTCGTTCTTCAAAGTTGTATCGCATTTCCAAGTACATCACATACGAATATTAACGGGGGAGAGATACACTTCATATTACTTATTATAGAAAATGTATCCTTTTGGTAACCTGGGAACTGTTTCAGGAAACTGGCAAAGTACAAGTTCACTGACAGCCCATTGAAACATATTATCATTATATCTAATAACTTGTGGCCGTTTCGTGAAACATGCTCTGGGTTTCTGGAGCGAAACTAGTATGAATTGAACTACATTAACTAAAGGGTCTTTTGTTTCTTGTCTTTCTATTTATAGATATCGACGAATGTGCTTCTGCCCCTTGTCAAAATGGCGGAGTGTGTGTTGATGGAGTTAATGGTTACGTGTGTAATTGTGCACCAGGCTACACTGGCGATAACTGTGAAACTGGTAAGAAATCTGGCCATTACTCAAAAAATATTCAAAAAAGGTTTTCCTCTTAAAGATATAGCTTGTAAGAGAAAATAATGAGCAAAATCATTTATTGTAATCGAACAGTAATTATTGATTTGAATTGATATCAAAAAGAAATTGTGAATCGGTGATCATTCAAATAAAGTACTGATTCAAATTTAATGTGTCTTTTAGTTGACGAGGTTCCGCCTTGAAAATCAATTTGTTTACATCTAGAATAAACAGTAAAGTCCAGGAATTAGAATGTAACTACTTCATGAAAGATTAGCAAAAAAGGCAGTGACCTTCTTGAAATGCTGCTGATTCTAAAGGTAATTGATTAATCTTTAAAATTATTTTCAGAAGTGTTCAAGGACTTCAACTCGTAAAACAGTGGTATATGAACATTTCCTAATTTCTCCTCTTCCAGAAATCGACGAATGTGCTTCCATGCCTTGTTTGAACGGAGGAGAGTGCATTGAAATGGTTAACGGATACACCTGTCAGTGTGTAGCTGGCTACACTGGGGTTATTTGCGAGACTGGTAATGTATTTCCTCTAAAACCTAGAGCTATACAGTTTTTTCCTACATTTCAGTAAGATTAAAATACAATACAATACAATCATAAGCAGAAATTGTCTGGATATAGTTGACTGGATGCGTAGCGAGAAAATGACGGATGTCTGAATAAGCACGATTGTTGGGAAATGTGTTGCATATCATTTGCACGTGTGATTTATGCTTGTGAGAGCGAAGGTAGATGTTTAAGGGCGCCCTCATTGTTAAACCATCTTGCTTCTCATTTCTGTGCGCAAAGAGATAACACTGTCGTTATTTGTCACGTTGCATGTCCATTTTATGTTTGCCATTTCGTCATGTGCCGCGTCTTTGTTTGTAACTTTGTTTTTCGTTTTTGCCTTGTTCGTCCTTCAAAATCGGCACGACCAGTAATTACTGGTCAATACTAATTCGCAATTGCGGAGCATGTACTTAAATAACAAACTAAGAAAATTCAGAAAAATTCAAGACAAACCCGACAAGCTACAGATTCCAATACAACTTTTTAAAGTTAGATATATCCAGCATATCACTGTGCTATTCCTATTGAGGTTCCACAAGGGTATCAAAACGTTAATCCCTTCAACCAGTCTGAATTTCACATGCATTTTTGATATACGCTTTGAATTATAACGACAAAAATCATTTCCTCTACTTGTAATTTTTACTAAACAATTGTGACTTGTCTGTACCATTGTAATTTTTTGTTTAACGCAAGTCACTACGTCTTCCCATGCATTTGCCCATTAAAACAAAACAAATAACTTGATCGTCCATAACAATGCGCTCTAACTTTATTCCCCGTCGAATGTTTTAATAACAAACTGACAATGGGATTTTTATTTCATATGGAAAATTTGGGGGCGATTACGTCCAACATGTCCCATATGACATATACATTTCATCCATGAATGAAGAAAATCTCTTGTTTATCGGCAGTGGTACCAGAAAGTACAATTATTTAATGGTCATATTAAGAGAATCCTCATTTTAGGGTGAAATATATTTGGGTAAAAGAGACATATGCCGTAGGGATCTATTGCACGGAATCGCCTTCTTACGTAGAATTGGACGGGAATTTACTCATCTGTTTTATTTTCGTTTTTTTCTTCAGATATTGACGAGTGTGCCAGTGCCCCTTGCCAGAATGGTGGTGTGTGTACTGATACCATTAACGGATATATCTGTGCCTGTGTGCCAGGATTCACCGGAAGCAACTGCGAGACTAGTAAGTTACTGATAATCATGAATCGTCATTAAACTTACAGACCCGTACTCTTCTATACAAGTCGAGCAGACTTGGCAAAATGCAGTTTAACCACGTCTTAATTAAAAATAATAATAATAATTTAATCTTCATCATTGTCTCTTGTGAAATCTTATATTCGGACATCATTTGAAAACCTAATGAACTACAATAGACTTTATTTTACGGATTCCTTGAAACACTAAATTTTGAAGATATTGCTTCAAACAGCTAGTTTTACTAAATTATCCAACCATGAAGCATAACGCAATGTTGAATATTAAAATTGCAGATGTTACTCCCTTCCTCCCCCGAACGACAGCTTATGAACCTTTATAATTCAGTTACATTCATTTGTTTATTGTTTCCTTAGACATCGACGAGTGTGCTAGCGACCCCTGTCTAAATGGAGGTATCTGTGTGGATGGAGTCAATGGTTTCGTCTGCCAGTGCCCTCCCAACTACTCTGGAACTTATTGTGAAATCTGTAAGTATACACTTCCCAAATGCACAAGAAGACTTGTGAAAGACTCTCTGACCATGTCAGACATGGAAGTCTATTTCCTGATTTTATTTTTAAATAGGCTTTATTGGTATCTGCCATCCATCTAAATGACATCCTTCTGCAATTATGTTTAAAAAAATGCCTTGCCTACCATGTATATATTCTCGTCAAGTAGCAGCTACATGGCTTGAAAGTTTAGTTGACACATCGGCCTCATAATGTCTTTTGTAAAATGTAATTTGACACTTTCTGTACCACCCCCCCCCCCCCCCACACAAAAACAGATCTTGCATTATGCAATTGATAACTTTACATGATATATTTCTAAAGGCGAGTGTTATGCGGATGTTTGTTGATTACGATTTGTTTGTTCTATGTTGTATAGCACTTGATGCATGCAGGAGTATGCCATGCCAGAATGGCGCCACGTGCGTAAACGTTGGAGCCGACTACGTCTGCGAATGCGTACCAGGATATGCTGGACAAAACTGTGAAATTGGTAAGTAGCCCTAGCCTGCTTTATTTGGTTATCCTAATTTTACACAATAGATGAAATAATAACCTTCCTGCCGCCCATAGCAAATATTAATCGAGATCAAACCAGTTGAAATAAATGGTTAACTGAGGAAGTACTTCATTCAATGTTTTAAGCATTTTTGGTAATAGTCGTACTTTTAGGCGCCTTGAGTACTCACTGAGCTCCATATGTGTGCGACAAAAATCGATTTTCTTTCAATCTTTCAGACATCAACGAGTGTGCTAGTCTTCCATGCCAAAACGGCGGTCTATGTATTGATGGTATTGCTGGATACACCTGTCAGTGCCGTCTAGGATACATCGGTGTCAACTGCGAGGAAGGTATGTATCATCACACATTACATTTCAGGTTACAACCAACGCTTTACCGATTACAACCACAATGCCCGTTGCACATACAGCGTCATTTGCCGAAATCGGGCCCCGTTTCATCAATAACCAATGCTAAATTTCTACGACAAATTTTCTCCCAGCCTATCAAATCACGATTTCAATAGCTTATAACACTTAACGCATGAAATAGGGCCCATGATTGCCTCCATGATTAGAGTAGACTTAATTAACTTTTGCTTTCGCACCTCTCTACTTTGGAATTGTTGCACTGGACCAATCAAAACGAATATGACCCTATCATAAATAGAAATTGAGCCTAATTACTCCATAAATGTCGTCGAGCACGGTTTCGACATTATTTTGAGGAGGGTAGTAATGAAAATATATGTCGGGTTTGAAAGAGGAAAATGAGTAAACAGGAGAATTAGGAATATTTCTGATTGATTTTCTCTACTTATGGACTATTGAGAAAGAGAGAGAGAAAGAGATAACTAGACAAAATGTAGAAAAAAGAATTATTCTTTCCTGCATGGGTGATGTCTTTGAAAGGACGAATAAACCGGGTAATAAATGCAAAGATAGGCATCCGACACTCCAAACAGATTGGTTAATCGTCATAAGGAGCGAATCGGCGGTCGCCCAAATATATGTGTAAATGTTATTCATGATTTGTTTTTCTTCTCTCGTAGTTGGTTTCTGCGACTTGGAGGGTATGTGGTACAACGAGTGCAATGATCAGGTCACCATCACCAAGACCTCTACAGGAATGATGCTTGGAGATTACATGACTTACAATGAACGTGCCCTCGGATACGCAGGTAAATATAAATCCCATCGTACACAGGGGCGGATCCAGGATTTGTTTTGATTTTTTTAAGGGGGGGGGGGGGGGCTGAAAAATGATGTATAAATGTCATTTGGAACGCAAGGAATCCAGTAATGCTACTTGGATTTCAAGGGGGCAGTATCCGATTATTGCCCCCCCCCCCCGCGAATCCTCACGCGCATCATATTGGTAGTATACATGATTGGGACTATGAATGGCCATTGACCTGCTTACCTCTCGACACGTTAAATGCAAAACAAATATTAGTAGGCCTATCTATCAAAGTCTGATTTCAATTAAATCATAAAAGCGATTGAGAGATAAAGACTGTTATTGACCTTTATGCATGCATGAAATTACCCTTTCCTTTGTATTTTAATTCAATTGCTATTTGATAATACTTTTTATTCAGCCCCAACCGTCGTGGTCGGTTACGCCAGCAACAACTATGACTTCCCATCTTTCGGTTTCACGGTGGTCCGTGACAATGGTCAGTCTACTACCAGTTGGACCGGTCAGTGCCATCTATGTGACGGTGAAGAGGTTCTCTACACCACCTGGATCAACACCAACATGGTCAGCACCTGCCAGGACATCAAGAAATCAAACATGTGAGTACATTCATTCATTCTTTCATCGAATCATTCCAATATTCATATATTTATTCGTGCTTTCACGTATGCATTCATTCATTCATACATGAATGAATTCATGTATCCATACATTGATTCATTCATTCACTAGTCAGTAAATCATTCTTTCCTTCAATCCTTAATTACCAAAATGTTAAAAATACATTGAAAATTTGAGTACCTCTTCCTTCCTCGGCTGCCCCTTCTACCTTTCTATCGTATCTATGTCTCTCTCTCTCTCTCTCTCTCTCTGAATGACTCTCCCTCTCTTTGACTCTCTCTGACGGTTTCTCTCTTCCTCTCTCTCTCTCCCTCTCCCTTCCTTCCTCGGCTGCCCCTTCCACCTTTCTATCTTATCTTTGTCTCTCTCTCTCTCTCTCTCTCTGAATGACTCTCCCTCTCTTTGACTCTCTCTGACGGTTTCTCTCTTCCTCTCTCTCTCTCCCTCTCCCTTCCTTCCTCGGCTGCCCCTTCCACCTTTCTATCTTATCTATGTCTCTCTCTCTCTCTCTCTCTCTGACGGTTTCTCTCTTCCTCACTCTCTCTCTCCCTCTCCCTTCCTTCCTCGGCTGCCCCTTCCTTCCTCGGCTGCCCCTTCCACCTTTCTATCTTATCTATGTCTCTCTCTCTGTGACGGTTTCTCTCTTCCTCTTTCTCTCTCCCTCTCTGACGGTTTCTCTCTTTCTCTTTCTCTCTCTCTCTCTCTCTCTCTCCCTTCCTTTCTCGGCTGCCCCTTTCACCTTTCTATCTTATCTATGTCTCTCTCTCTCTATCTTTGTCTCCCTGAACTTATAACCCTTTGGATTCATTGTCAATATTTCCAAGTATTCCATTTGACCTGTTAAACGTGTAGTGATGAATTGTCAAGGCTGAAATATATCATCCACACACTGACAATGAAGCCAAATGCGGCAACACCCATAATCCTATATACTGTGCAATACCTAACAAGGGCAAATAAAAAATATGCAAAGCCTCACTCCCATTTTCTTTTTGTTTTAATATCAAAAATATGTGACATCAGTACTTAACCTCATTTTCGCTTTTTATCTTGAATTCTGTAGGGTTGGCCAGGACAAATGGACGCGTTATGAACAGAGCATCGCACCTCAGCCTGATGCATAGGCAATTTAACTACATTAATATTGTAACATGAATAACATCTAGTACTCGTCTTGTAAATTTGTTTGAAAAAAGTACTAGTACTAACTTTTATCGAATCTTTGCACTTTTTAAAGTATTTTAAACAAATGTCAATGAGTCACATGAGATACTCGGTTTTGCAGTTATCATAGATTGAAAAACTATTTTTATCCTGAGATTATAGCTGTACAAAAGTTTTACAAATGTATGTTATGAAGTATTGAATAAGTAACAAGCATATTCATGGCGGTTAAACATTTCACCAAATCAGTATTTCTTCAAATTTTAGTCTCCTAGTTATTCGCATTATTCGTATAGCTTGTTCTGATTCCAACCTGGTTTTATCATACAATATATTAATACCTTTTTGTTTTTTCATATTATATCACTTTTTATAGTATTAATGCGTCATGTTTTTAATAGGATCATTGATCAAATAAATTTTGTATTAAATAATTAACGGTCTTGGAAACAAAATGTGAATATGTCTGACTGTAAGCACTGCCTTGTTTTTAAACATTTTTTATCATTCGTTTTTTAAAATAAAATGCTGCGAAGACCAAATATTAAAACATTTCATCAGTTTTCGTGTAAATAGGAAGATATGTGAATGGTAAATTGGATTTAGCCTTCCTGAAAGCTAAACACTGGAATAATGTACATGAACAGTGAATATAATACCAGGTAGAGGGAGATGAAGAGAGAGGGGAGATGAAGAGAGAGAGATGGGAGATGAAGAGAGAGAGAGATGGGAGATGAAGAGAGAGAGGGGAGATGAAGAGAGAGAGGGGAGAGAGGGGAGATGAAGAGAGAGAGGGGAGAGAGAGGAGATGAAGAGAGAGAGAGGGATGGGAGATGAGAGAGAGAGAGAGGGGAGATGAAGAGAGAGAGGGAGATGAAGAGAGAGAGGAGAGAGAGGGGAGATGAAGAGAGCGAGGGCAGAGAGAGAGAGAGAGAGAGAGGAAGAGAGACGTGGATAGGACCCATCCTACTCTCCTTATCCCCGAGTTATATAGAAAAGGTAATGAAGTAAAAATGGCGTATAAGCCGACTTGATTTGTATTTCATGACGATATTATAACTTGTCTCCTTATGAAAGCGTTCTGCATAAATGTTTAATCCACCCCCCCCCCTTATTGATTTTTTTTTTTGTTTTACAAATATTTAAAGCTAACTGAAGCCTCAAAAACATTATATCGTCTGCTGCCCGCATGAAAGCCGCAAATGCTATGTGTAGTATGTGGCAATAATGGCCTTTATGTGAGCAGCCAATGATAATGTAGGCCTAATCCAATTTCTTCATGCTAATACTAAGTTTTTTTGGCAGTTTAAAACTTGTTAGTTTTCTGGAAATAGCAATATTTTTGACATGTTTTTTCTTCCGCTATATATGTTACTCTTTTCCATGATTTTTTATTCTGGGAGAGGAGCGAGGACAATTGGAATACTTATATTTTGTTCAGAGAGTGAAAGAGAGACAAATAGAGGGAGAAGTAGAGAGACGAGAAGAAGACGACATACATAGACATACAGACGTACACAGACACACACAGACATATGCATATACGTACATAGACATACATACATACATAGACAACATACAAGACCTACATAAACAAACATAGACAAACAGATAGACATACACAGACATACAGACATACATAGACAGAGGGAGGGAGAGTTATGAGAAAGAGAAACGGACATACATATAAAGAGAGTGAGAGCATATTTGTACATAAAAAAGACACAATAAACTGTTGAATGGCAATTTATAGAGAAATTGCTCAAGACAACGAATAAAAAGATGAGGAAGAAGTCTTCCTCATTCATAAAATATAAACAACACAAAGGATGTCAGTTATTACCAATTTCTACTCTTTAATTACAATCCTACCATTACTGAGAATTATAAACAATTTTCAAAATAAACACAACGGTTTATGCATTAAGTTCTTTAAAAGAAATTACCCAATTTAAGAGCTTAAACAAAAAGGTAGTATAATGCAAGATATAAACCTGACAATATTATATACCTGAATAGATACTGCAGCAAAGTTCAAGTCTTCTTTTTCTCAAAGGATGGTACATCCTAAACAGTGAAAATGTTATGGGACGTACATGTGAAAAAATAAAACCTAGAATATTAATTTGTTCTTTTAGTCGTCGGGGAGGGGATGGAGAAGGAGAGGGTGGAGGAGATTGAGAATGAGAGGGGTCGGGGGGGGGGGGGGGGTAATGTCCCCATTATAATCCTAAAGGACGTATAAGCAGAGGGAGTCTGAAAAGCCATTGGTCCCCAATTAAATTTTACATGGTAATTCACAATACTATTATTAGACACCTGATGTTCTTTTAATATTATAGGGCAGTAAAAAAAAATATGTATTTGTGCCAGCGCAGTTGTAATGGTTAAACATCTTCTGAAAGATAGACGTAGTAAAAATAATCAATTTATAAGATATACTCGTATAGACTCATTGGGTGGTATTCCGGTAGCGCGTACTAAGTTAGCGCATACTTAGTTAATTCACACTTCTATGGAGTGCCTGTTGCAAACTAATTTACCCTGTACAGATTATTTTAATCCTTCAATGAAGAGTTTTCAAAAAATTAATTTTGCGATGAAATGGGAAGAAAAAGATAATATGAGTATGAACTGAATTTCAACAAAGTTTTTGGTAGATTATCTTTGTCATGAATATTGAAGGAGGAAGATGAAACCTAGCATTCCATAGAAGTGTGAACTAAAATTCTTGTTTAGTCTGGACTTAGTCCCGGCTTAACTTATGAGAATACCACCCTTTAGCTGCATGTTAAATGTATCTAAAAACAAATATTACAATTGTAAAAACGCACCAATGAAATATGTACAATACGATGATATTTTATCTTAGAAAATACCAAATATATATACGCTTTAGGCCTATATGCCTATTTCTCTACGAAAAAAACAATAAATTGTTCCGTATTCTACTAATTCAGTTCAACCCGACCCAGGGTCGAAAATCACGTTTAACAGAAGGAAAACTTAGACCTCATACTAAATTTCTTTGTTAAAATTGTAGTAGAATATGGATCATTATGTTTACCATCCCGAATTCTTTTCTCTCTTATTACAGGTATGCGTACTGAAGTAATATTGTAAGCACACATAGAGAACAAAAATGAAACCACAACACCCTTCCAAATAGATGCTTTTATACCAGTATCGTGTATATTACTATCCTCTAAAACGACACAAAAAGTACAAATAGGGAAACATTTTATAACAAATAACAAATATAGATATAATCCCTCTTATTATAACCAAAAACATAACATAAGCTACGGTAAAATCTAAAAGTATTTATATTTACGTACGATCAAAGCTAAACCACAAACCAGCAGATTTAGAATTGCCTTCACAAAAAGACGACATTTTGAAATTTATTGGTTGATACCAATCTTCTACTTTCCGTATTATCCTATGATACGAGCTGAAGTAAGATGAAGTAAACATTCTCCTTCGTCCGAAAGGTCTCCATAATTCAAACAGTGCTGTTCGAAGGTGCTGTGCTTTGCATGTATCGAGTCCATTTGTCCTGCCCGATTCTACACAGAAGGAAATATAACGGAATAAAGAGAGAGACAGAGAGACAAAGAGAGACAGAGAGAGAGAGAGACAGAGAGAAACATATAGAGAAATTGGGGAGAGGGTAGAAATTGAGAGAGAAATAGAGAGAGAGAGAGAGAGAGAGAGAGAGAGAAAGCGACGGGGAATGGGAGAGAAAGAGAACACGGTGTGTTACATCATCATCATTACATATATATATTTATTCAGCGCAAGTAATATGCGATCAAAATGACCGTATCTGGACACCTACCCACTGGACATCCACCCCGGATAAACAGCCCCAGTCAACTACCCCCTAGGACAACTACCCCCTAGGGAAACCACCCTCTAGGACGACTACCCCCCAGGACAACTACCCCCAGACAACTACCCCCGGACAACTACCCCGTAGGACAACTACTCCCCAGACAACTACCCCCTAGGATAGTTTTCCGGGCGTAGTTGTCGTAGAGGATGGTTGTCGTAGGGGGTAGTTGTCTGGGGCTAGTTGTCCGGGGTAGTTGTCCGGGGGATAGTTGACCTAGGGGGTCGTTATCCGGGGGTAGTTGTCAGGGGGGGTAGTTGTCTGGGGGTACTACTACTACTACTACTACTACTACTACTACTAATAATAATAATAATATTTAGTTTTTATAAAAAGCGCTTATCACAACTCTGAGCGCTTTACAAATATACTAATAATAATTTTCAAAGCTCTTTGGAAGCGCATAGAGGCAATATAATGTGATATGAGCTACACAATAACCGAATATTATTATTATTATTACTTGTCACTTTTGCGATCGTGGTTAGTATAAATTTCAAAGAGAGAAACATCAACTTACTTTGTTGCTTCCCTGACTTCGAAACACGTATTGACGGATAGAATGTTGATCCAGGTTGAGTAAAGGACTTCCTTCTCATCACAGATCTGGCACTGTCCGGTCCAGCTGGTTGTTGATTGGCCTTCCCATCGGACCACGGTAAAGCCGAACGTTGGGTTAGTAGGGTTTAGCCCCGCATACCCCAGAGCAACGGTGGAGGCTGCAGGAATGGCGATAGAGAAAGTATACGCAAATTATCAATAACACGAAAGATTCACAAACATAATGCATGAAGAAAGCTATCGCCTAAAACCCAGCGCACACTATATGATCTGTCTACGGTCCGATTTAGGAAGAACTGGCAATAGCATTTGTTATGAACATTTCAATCTCAATGACCGAGGAGTAATGAGTAATACAAATCTAAATTTCAGGGGTTAACTTGAGGAGAGAAAGCTAAATTGGCTCAGAATCGTAGTGATGTCAGACCGGTCGTGCGATCACCTACGATTTGAAGCCGATCCGTATTTCATTTTAACTAGAAGTGTTAAGTGCACTAAAACTCCGGTTGTTACTATTCTTATCATTATTCAGAACCTTAGTCAGGAATATGATGTTTGTTTTGATAGATTTCCATATCTAACTATTGTTATTTCTTCGTAAATTGGATCGCAGTGTGCGGCGAGCTTAAAGCAGCTGTGCGAAGATTGTAAAATATAACTTTTATTATCATTATTGCAAAGGTGAAAACTTTGATTGGACAATTTCATCAAAATTCAATGCTTGGAATAATTGGAAGTAATGATTATTATCAATTACAACACGCTGAAATACAGCCAATGCTTAGGACCTGAAGAGCTCTCCGAACACTATATATGAGTTCTCAGAGGGCGGGGAAGATTTGACTCTTTGGATCTCAAGAATCAATAAAAAAGGAGTCCAGAACTAGGTACCAATTAACAGAAGGATTACGAAGGGTGTGCATAACCTATGTTTGGACCCTGTCTTATTAACAGTTGTAATTGATATCAATCGCAAATAAATTGCGATTAATCGCTACCGTTTTTAGACAGTGTCCTGGGGAGTGTTTCACAAAGATCCTAAGTTGAACTTATCTCTAAGTTGGACTTAAAATTTATGGAAAGCCATTGGCATCTGTGAAAATATTTTGTAAAATTTTTGTTTAAAGCAAAAACATGTTGATTCCAATTATTCATATTTTCTATTATCATGGGAGATTCTATGTTCTTGATGTGGAATTTATAAAAAGTCTAAAATACTTGAATTTCTGCTTTTGAATATATTTCATTTTAAGGCTCCAATGGCTGTCCATAATTTTTAAGTCCAACTTAGTGTTAAGTTCTACTTACGATCTTTGTGAAACACCCCCCTGGTCTTAACTATTAAACTCCATGACAACCTTTTTTAATCATCTCGTTGTAGACGTTTTACAATTATAGAAATTTGGAAATAAATTCAAATCCAGTGTTAAGAATACCCTCGTCTTGATAAAGTACTATGTGGCACAAAAAGAGATAGACAAAGGCTTGTACTATATAATATAAACTAACCTGCCATGCCAGTAAGCTGCTCGACATACGTCATGTAGTCTCCCAAAAGCATGCCAGTAGATGTCTGCACGATGATCAATTTATCGTTGATTTCGTTGTACCAGGTTCCCTGTAAATCACACAGATCGACTTGAAAAAAGAAAGAAATAACGATACAGCATAAGAGCATGCATTTAAGAAGCATAACCACATTAACAGCTCTCTCTCCCCCCCCCCCCCTCTCTCTCTCTCTCTCTCTCTTTAATTCTCTATATTTTGTTATATCTGTGTATTTGTGTTGATTTTTTTCTTCTAAACTATTGTTTGGCCATTTCCGATGAATGAAAATCATGTCGCAATATATAAGAGTAGGAAGAAAGATATAAAAGGAAAACATTTCAAAATATTTCACACTTTCACCATTTTGTTTCTTTTATTTTACTTCTTTCATACCAAGGCCAAGGGCGTTATAACGAGTGTTGAATTGCCCTTTCATTACAGTATACGGCTGTCAGCTTGTTCAATTATAGTATCGTACTGACATGCAGAGTGTTAGTGATAAGAGATTTGGAAATAGATATCTGCGCATGAGCAGACAAAGGCCATTGTATCAGTGCTCTTCCCAATCTCACGCGTATGTTAAACTTTTACTATGCAAATCCAAGCTTATAATTACGTTAACAACTGTGCAATATAATGTTATTTTTAACAGTGAGGCAATATTAATCGTTCATTTTAAATTCCGTATATATTTCACTAACTAGCAAATTTTGAATTAATGCTTGTACACATTATATTTAATTCCATTTATCCTGATCTCATGCTGTTATTTATATTTGCATTGTATTTTACCTGCACTGTGATAGCATGTACAATTCAGTCTATCACTGCCATTCATGTCTTTAAAAACCTTGATTGAATGATAATAAGATAGGTATGACGTCATTATCATTCTTTTCAAAGGTAATGTCACAAATTTTTCATGAAGCATGTTCATCACGTTGAGAGTGATTTTCTTCTTGTTCTAAAATGCATTCGGTACAGTGGCATTTCTCCATTTTTAAAGTATCTGTGGGTCTTTCGGGTCGTTTCTATCGTAATGATACATACGAACTGGTCTATTACTGTCAACTCAGCAAACAGCTCTACAAGCACTTTTTAGAATTGTAAATAAATCTTACATATTTCGCAGATCAGTCCCGAGTATCCAAAGCGGCAGTCGCATGTGAACATGTCCAGTCCATCTGTGCATGTACCGCCATTTTGGCACGGTAGGCTGAGGCACTCGTTGATTTCTAAAAAAAAATGATCATACCCCTTTCAAACTGGCCTGATTTTCATCGGATGCATCCTGACGCATCCGATGAAATGGCCAGTATGAATGGTACAGAGGAGGAAAAGCCGATAGAATAGCCGATGAAAAGAAGAGAAATAGGCGATCAAATTTTTAATCGCCGATTTTACTTCTTTCTATCTATAAGGAAAATTCTATCGGTATTTTCATCGGTGCGACTCTGATAGAAGCTCTATGAAAGGGGAGAGAACACAAAATAAAGGAATAAATATTGTTATAAAGTTCTCATCGTCTACCAATCGAAATTGATCAACGTGTCCAATTTCAGAACCCCGGTCTACATATACACTTTAGCTGCACACAATGGCGTATGCAGACTTCGGCCTTGGCCTGGGAAATGGGCAGAGGAGTAATCACTAAAAGTAAAAGTAATCACTAAAGTCCGGGTACTTTGAAGTGCTACGTATGGTCCGTCCTCCTGTACGGCTGCAAGTGCTGGACGTGAAATAAAACCTTGGACAGCAAATTTCAAGCAGCAGAAATGTTGTTATTAAGAAGAATGATTGGGATACCTTAGACCGACAGGATATAAGATGCAGAAGTGCTAAACAAGGCATGTGTCGATAGATCCCTCCTAAACGTCATAAGAAAGAGACAACTTCACTTTGTCGGACATATTATGAAACCAAAAATAATTGTCTGCCCTTTTGCATGGCAGTGCAATTCAATTTTTCCAAAATGATTGCCAAATAAACAGATTATATGAATTATCACATGTCGTAGGTCAGGAAAATAAGCAAGTAAAATATCGCGTTTCAATATATAAACGTTCAGATTGTAGTATCATTCGAAATCTAAAAGCTTTGGATTGGATATTTTGATATAGTGTCCGAATTCTCTCTGAACGGGGGGGGGGGGGGAGCTTGCCCTACTTCATCCAAACGATGGACACTGTGTGTGTGTGTGAGAGAGAGAGAGAGAGAGAGAGAGAGAGTTGTGCAACAGAAGAAGAAGAAGAAGAAGAGGAAGGGGTAGCGGAGCAGGAAGTTATGGAGGAAAATGAGGAAGAGAAGAATACTCCAAACTCCAAATTCAAAAGCAGAAAAAAAAATCAAAGCTACAACTTCCGACAATGTTTTACAGAGACTTGCGTTTCATCCCTACCCCGCCCCCTTTCGGTGACACCCTGATTCTACCTAAGTATTTAACATGTTTTTATATCTTACCCGATTCACAACGATCCCCTTCAAAGCCCGGTGCGCATATACAGATAAAGTCAACTCCGGAATTGACGCAGGTAGATCCGTTTGCGCAAGGGTCACTCATACAGGCGTCCGCAACTAAAATGGGATTGGATTTTGAAATATTAAAATCAATATATAATATACGTATTTGTTTTGATTATCACAACAAAGAACCAAGGAATAAACCCCTAGTCCATTGTTGCCACAGACAGTGGTATTGACGCATGTACAAATGGTCATAAAGTGTCATCTCGTTGCACCTCGACAGGCTGTCCATTCCAAACGTTATCTGAGAAATTTTATTTTGGTTAAATAAGAATATTGTGTACAATTTAATAAGAAATGTACAAATTAAATCAAATGGTGTTTAAAGTTAAATGAGGTACATAAAATTTGGACATTAAAATAACCCCCCCCCCCCCAAAAAAAAAAAAAAAAAAAAAAAAAAAAAATTAATCCGTAAAGTTCGTTTTTTTATCAATTTGATAAATGGTTGATAGGAAAATCAAATGTTGCTAAAGTACCTAATAATAAGTTATAATATATTATATGTTTACTGAAGCAGATGTAACTTCACAAGGAAGAATAACACTTTTAATCATACTTACGAGCGAATTGTATTATAAACTGACGAAGAACGTTTTATCAATGTACAGAAACAATTGGTTGCTTATACGTCTATGCTTCTTACCCCATGATTACAGTTCATTGTAAAATCAAAAAGAGAAACATCCAATCCAATCTGGGGATTTGCAGATCAGAAGTATACAGTTGCCTAATACCAAAACGCAGGTGAGACTGAAAAAATACTTTTGAATATGCCGTTCGTGATTCACCTGGGAAAGAATGGGGTAGTGGCTAGTTGTAAGGATTGTGGAATGCTAAGACACAATCATGTAAATGTTTGCATGAATGTCACTTGCTGTGGATACCATGTATTGTTGAACACAGAGGAATATTGTACTTACGTATCTCGCAGTTTGTACCATTTGTACCTACGGGACACATGCATGTGTAGCCATTTACCTCATCGTAGCACGTACCGCCATTTTGACATGGGCCACTCGCGCACTCATCGATATCTGAAAAGACAAATATTATTATGTAATTATGAAATGAAAATTGTTTCATCTTTACAAAAACTAAGATTTAATTGTTCTAAAGACGACAGTATGCGCAAATGATTGCACTTATAGCTTTCTTCAGTGCGATGAAGATGGAAGATTTACATTTGACAGACTGCTCTTAGATAATTGTATTACTGTTCGGAAAGGCGGCTTAATGTTGGAGAGCGACAGAATGACATGCAGTGGTGGAGATAAGTGGCTGAAAACTCGTTCTCTAGTAGTCGTGTTTAGGGGCGGGGGCATGCCAGCCCTGCAAAGTCTATGACAAGCAAAGAACCCATATGATTATATAAATAAAGGAATAGATAAATAGTTAAATAAATGAATAAAGGAATACAGCTATCCCAAGTTGGTCTATATGTACTGTATGTGCACACATGGGGAGGGCGTAAGTTATATCTTTAAAACACAAGATATGGCACAAGTTTTTGTTGAGGGGAGGGGGGGGGGGCATGACGTGTCGCCATGTACCTGTTGCTCAATACGTTTTTTGGTTAGAAATCATACTCCGACGCCTGATACTAACTAATCAATCACGACATTTAGTATGAATAGGCCCGAGGTAACATTATGTTGCATTATCTGAATAAAGTATGCGCAATTTGTATTGCACCTCAGGAAGTAGCAGACAATAAAGTCCCTTTTGCAGACAGAGGTATACTCAACATAGAACTTGGCATTATAAAAGGCTCGACTGTTCCCTGGTGCTTCTTGTAACTATAAAATGACCTACTAGTTTCACACGTAACGTTGGTCCACCCAGGAGCACACTGGCAGCTGAATTCGTTGATTCCGTCATCACACGTTCCACCATTGGCACAAGGATTACTAGCACATTTGTCAATATCTGTAGAGAAAGCAAAATGTAGATTTATTTATTCAACCATTTAATTTCATGGCAAAGAGAGATAAAAAAAAACTTAAAGAGTCAAAGAAGGTAGGAAATACAATCGTGGCATCCCAGTGATAGCCATAACCAAGAAGGACATTCGTTCAGGAAGGTTGGATATGAATTGAAGGTCCGCGAGGGCAAAACCATTGATGTATTTGTACCTTTCCTTAAGTCGTGAACACGACTCATACATCTCCAGATCATGGTATGGTTTACGAATCTTGCTTACATGTCAAGTAGTACATGTCAAACGTAAATTTACACTAATATCTATGTGCTTTTGGCTCTGCATTTCCAAGTACATCACATACGAATATTAACGGGGGAGAGATACACTTCATATTACTTATTATAGAAAATGTATCCTTTTGGTAACCTGGGAACTGTTTCAGGAAACTGGCAAAGTACAAGTTCACTGACAGCCCATTGAAACATATTATCATTATATCTAATAACTTGTGGCCGTTTCGTGAAACATGCTCTGGGTTTCTGGAGCGAAACTAGTATGAATTGAACTACATTAACTAAAGGGTCTTTTGTTTCTTGTCTTTCTATTTATAGATATCGACGAATGTGCTTCTGCCCCTTGTCAAAATGGCGGAGTGTGTGTTGATGGAGTTAATGGTTACGTGTGTAATTGTGCACCAGGCTACACTGGCGATAACTGTGAAACTGGTAAGAAATCTGGCCATTACTCAAAAAATATTCAAAAAAGGTTTTCCTCTTAAAGATATAGCTTGTAAGAGAAAATAATGAGCAAAATCATTTATTGTAATCGAACAGTAATTATTGATTTGAATTGATATCAAAAAGAAATTGTGAATCGGTGATCATTCAAATAAAGTACTGATTCAAATTTAATGTGTCTTTTAGTTGACGAGGTTCCGCCTTGAAAATCAATTTGTTTACATCTAGAATAAACAGTAAAGTCCAGGAATTAGAATGTAACTACTTCATGAAAGATTAGCAAAAAAGGCAGTGACCTTCTTGAAATGCTGCTGATTCTAAAGGTAATTGATTAATCTTTAAAATTATTTTCAGAAGTGTTCAAGGACTTCAACTCGTAAAACAGTGGTATATGAACATTTCCTAATTTCTCCTCTTCCAGAAATCGACGAATGTGCTTCCATGCCTTGTTTGAACGGAGGAGAGTGCATTGAAATGGTTAACGGATACACCTGTCAGTGTGTAGCTGGCTACACTGGGGTTATTTGCGAGACTGGTAATGTATTTCCTCTAAAACCTAGAGCTATACAGTTTTTTCCTACATTTCAGTAAGATTAAAATACAATACAATACAATCATAAGCAGAAATTGTCTGGATATAGTTGACTGGATGCGTAGCGAGAAAATGACGGATGTCTGAATAAGCACGATTGTTGGGAAATGTGTTGCATATCATTTGCACGTGTGATTTATGCTTGTGAGAGCGAAGGTAGATGTTTAAGGGCGCCCTCATTGTTAAACCATCTTGCTTCTCATTTCTGTGCGCAAAGAGATAACACTGTCGTTATTTGTCACGTTGCATGTCCATTTTATGTTTGCCATTTCGTCATGTGCCGCGTCTTTGTTTGTAACTTTGTTTTTCGTTTTTGCCTTGTTCGTCCTTCAAAATCGGCACGACCAGTAATTACTGGTCAATACTAATTCGCAATTGCGGAGCATGTACTTAAATAACAAACTAAGAAAATTCAGAAAAATTCAAGACAAACCCGACAAGCTACAGATTCCAATACAACTTTTTAAAGTTAGATATATCCAGCATATCACTGTGCTATTCCTATTGAGGTTCCACAAGGGTATCAAAACGTTAATCCCTTCAACCAGTCTGAATTTCACATGCATTTTTGATATACGCTTTGAATTATAACGACAAAAATCATTTCCTCTACTTGTAATTTTTACTAAACAATTGTGACTTGTCTGTACCATTGTAATTTTTTGTTTAACGCAAGTCACTACGTCTTCCCATGCATTTGCCCATTAAAACAAAACAAATAACTTGATCGTCCATAACAATGCGCTCTAACTTTATTCCCCGTCGAATGTTTTAATAACAAACTGACAATGGGATTTTTATTTAATATGGAAAATTTGGGGGCGATTACGTCCAACATGTCCCATATGACATATACATTTCATTCATGAATGAAGAAAATCTCTTGTTTATCGGCAGTGGTACCAGAAAGTACAATTATTTAATGGTCATATTAAGAGAATCCTCATTTTAGGGTGAAATATATTTGGGTAAAAGAGACATATGCCGTAGGGATCTATTGCACGGAATCGCCTTCTTACGTAGAATTGGACGGGAATTTACTCATCTGTTTTATTTTCGTTTTTTTCTTCAGATATTGACGAGTGTGCCAGTGCCCCTTGCCAGAATGGTGGTGTGTGTACTGATACCATTAACGGATATATCTGTGCCTGTGTGCCAGGATTCACCGGAAGCAACTGCGAGACTAGTAAGTTACTGATAATCATGAATCGTCATTAAACTTACAGACCCGTACTCTTCTATACAAGTCGAGCAGACTTGGCAAAATGCAGTTTAACCACGTCTTAATTAAAAATAATAATAATAATTTAATCTTCATCATTGTCTCTTGTGAAATCTTATATTCGGACATCATTTGAAAACCTAATGAACTACAAGAGACTTTATTTTACGGATTCCTTGAAACACTAAATTTTGAAGATATTGCTTCAAACAGCTAGTTTTACTAAATTATCCAACCATGAAGCATAACGCAATGTTGAATATTAAAATTGCAGATGTTACTCCCTTCCTCCCCCGAACGACAGCTTATGAACCTTTATAATTCAGTTACATTCATTTGTTTATTGTTTCCTTAGACATCGACGAGTGTGCTAGCGACCCCTGTCTAAATGGAGGTATCTGTGTGGATGGAGTCAATGGTTTCGTCTGCCAGTGCCCTCCCAACTACTCTGGAACTTATTGTGAAATCTGTAAGTATACACTTCCCAAATGCACAAGAAGACTTGTGAAAGACTCTCTGACCATGTCAGACATGGAAGTCTATTTCCTGATTTTATTTTTAAATAGGCTTTATTGGTATCTGCCATCCATCTAAATGACATCCTTCTGCAATTATGTTTAAAAAAATGCCTTGCCTACCATGTATATATTCTCGTCAAGTAGCAGCTACATGGCTTGAAAGTTTAGTTGACACATCGGCCTCATAATGTCTTTTGTAAAATGTAATTTGACACTTTCTGTACCACCCCCCCCCCACACAAAAACAGATCTTGCATTATGCAATTGATAACTTTACATGATATATTTCTAAAGGCGAGTGTTATGCGGATGTTTGTTGATTACGATTTGTTTGTTCTATGTTGTATAGCACTTGATGCATGCAGGAGTATGCCATGCCAGAATGGCGCCACGTGCGTAAACGTTGGAGCCGACTACGTCTGCGAATGCGTACCAGGATATGCTGGACAAAACTGTGAAATTGGTAAGTAGCCCTAGCCTGCTTTATTTGGTTATCCTAATTTTACACAATAGATGAAATAATAACCTTCCTGCCGCCCATAGCAAATATTAATCGAGATCAAACCAGTTGAAATAAATGGTTAACTGAGGAAGTACTTCATTCAATGTTTTAAGCATTTTTGGTAATAGTCGTACTTTTAGGCGCCTTGAGTACTCACTGAGCTCCATATGTGTGCGACAAATAGCTATTAATCAATCGATTTTCTTTCAATCTTTCAGACATCAACGAGTGTGCTAGTCTTCCATGCCAAAACGGCGGTCTATGTATTGATGGTATTGCTGGATACACCTGTCAGTGCCGTCTAGGATACATCGGTGTCAACTGCGAGGAAGGTATGTATCATCACACATTACATTTCAGGTTACAACCAACGCTTTACCGATTACAACCACAATGCCCGTTGCACATACAGCGTCATTTGCCGAAATCGGGCCCCGTTTCATCAATAACCAATGCTAAATTTCTACGACAAATTTTCTCCCAGCCTATCAAATCACGATTTCAATAGCTTATAACACTTAACGCATGAAATAGGGCCCATGATTGCCTCCATGATTAGAGTAGACTTAATTAACTTTTGCTTTCGCACCTCTCTACTTTGGAATTGTTGCACTGGACCAATCAAAACGAATATGACCCTATCATAAATAGAAATTGAGCCTAATTACTCCATAAATGTCGTCGAGCACGGTTTCGACATTATTTTGAGGAGGGTAGTAATGAAAATATATTTCGGGTTTGAAAGAGGAAAATGAGTAAACAGGAGAATTAGGAATATTTCTGATTGATTTTCTCTACTTATGGACTATTGAGAAAGAGAGAGAGAAAGAGATAACTAGACAAAATGTAGAAAAAAGAATTATTCTTTCCTGCATGGGTGATGTCTTTGAAAGGACGAATAAACCGGGTAATAAATGCAAAGATAGGCATCCGACACTCCAAACAGATTGGTTAATCGTCATAAGGAGCGAATCGGCGGTCGCCCAAATATATGTGTAAATGTTATTCATGATTTGTTTTTCTTCTCTCGTAGTTGGTTTCTGCGACTTGGAGGGTATGTGGTACAACGAGTGCAATGATCAGGTCACCATCACCAAGACCTCTACAGGAATGATGCTTGGAGATTACATGACTTACAATGAACGTGCCCTCGGATACGCAGGTAAATATAAATCCCATCGTACACAGGGGCGGATCCAGGATTTGTTTTGATTTTTTTAAGGGGGGGGGGGCTGAAAAATGATGTATAAATGTCATTTGGAACGCAAGGAATCCAGTAATGCTACTTGGATTTCAAGGGGGCAGTATCCGATTATTGCCCCCCCCCCGCGAATCCTCACGCGCATCATATTGGTAGTATACATGATTGGGACTATGAATGGCCATTGACCTGCTTACCTCTCGACACGTTAAATGCAAAACAAATATTAGTAGGCCTATCTATCAAAGTCTGATTTCAATTAAATCATAAAAGCGATTGAGAGATAAAGACTGTTATTGACCTTTATGCATGCATGAAATTACCCTTTCCTTTGTATTTTAATTCAATTGCTATTTGATAATACTTTTTATTCAGCCCCAACCGTCGTGGTCGGTTACGCCAGCAACAACTATGACTTCCCATCTTTCGGTTTCACGGTGGTCCGTGACAATGGTCAGTCTACTACCAGTTGGACCGGTCAGTGCCATCTATGTGACGGTGAAGAGGTTCTCTACACCACCTGGATCAACACCAACATGGTCAGCACCTGCCAGGACATCAAGAAATCAAACATGTGAGTACATTCATTCATTCTTTCATCGAATCATTCCAATATTCATATATTTATTCGTGCTTTCACGTATGCATTCATTCATTCATACATGAATGAATTCATGTATCCATACATTGATTCATTCATTCACTAGTCAGTAAATCATTCTTTCCTTCAATCCTTAATTACCAAAATGTTAAAAATACATTGAAAATTTGAGTACCTCTTCCTTCCTCGGCTGCCCCTTCTACCTTTCTATCGTATCTATGTCTCTCTCTCTCTCTCTCTCTCTCTCTGAATGACTCTCCCTCTCTTTGACTCTCTCTGACGGTTTCTCTCTTCCTCTCTCTCTCTCCCTCTCCCTTCCTTCCTCGGCTGCCCCTTCCACCTTTCTATCTTATCTTTGTCTCTCTCTCTCTCTCTCTCTGAATGACTCTCCCTCTCTTTGTCTCTTTTCTCCCCTCTCCCTTTCTTCCTCGGCTGCCCCTTCCACCTTTCTATCTTATCTATGTCTCTCTCTCTCTCTCTCTCTGACGGTTTCTCTCTTCCTCACTCTCTCTCTCCCTCTCCCTTCCTTCCTCGGCTGCCCCTTCCTTCCTCGGCTGCCCCTTCCACCTTTCTATCTTATCTATGTCTCTCTCTCTGTGACGGTTTCTCTCTTCCTCTTTCTCTCTCCCTCTCTGACGGTTTCTCTCTTTCTCTCTCTCTCTCTCTCTCTCTCTCTCTCCCTTCCTTTCTCGGCTGCCCCTTTCACCTTTCTATCTTATCTATGTCTCTCTCTCTCTATCTTTGTCTCCCTGAACGTATAACCCTTTGGATTCATTGTCAATATTTCCAAGTATTCCATTTGACCTGTTAAACGTGTAGTGATGAATTGTCAAGGCTGAAATATATCATCCACACACTGACAATGAAGCCAAATGCGGCAACACCCATAATCCTATATACTGTGCAATACCTAACAAGGGCAAATAAAAAATATGCAAAGCCTCACTCCCATTTTCTTTTTGTTTTAATATCAAAAATATGTGACATCAGTACTTAACCTCATTTTCGCTTTTTATCTTGAATTCTGTAGGGTTGGCCAGGACAAATGGACGCGTTATGAACAGAGCATCGCACCTCAGCCTGATGCATAGGCAATTTAACTACATTAATATTGTAACATGAATAACATCTAGTACTCGTCTTGTAAATTTGTTTGAAAAAAGTACTAGTACTAACTTTTATCGAATCTTTGCACTTTTTAAAGTATTTTAAACAAATGTCAATGAGTCACATGAGATACTCGGTTTTGCAGTTATCATAGATTGAAAAACTATTTTTATCCTGAGATTATAGCTGTACAAAAGTTTTACAAATGTATGTTATGAAGTATTGAATAAGTAACAAGCATATTCATGGCGGTTAAACATTTCACCAAATCAGTATTTCTTCAAATTTTAGTCTCCTAGTTATTCGCATTATTCGTATAGCTTGTTCTGATTCCAACCTGGTTTTATCATACAATATATTAATACCTTTTTGTTTTTTCATATTATATCACTTTTTATAGTATTAATGCGTCATGTTTTTAATAGGATCATTGATCAAATAAATTTTGTATTAAATAATTAACGGTCTTGGAAACAAAATGTGAATATGTCTGACTGTAAGCACTGCCTTGTTTTTAAACATTTTTTATCATTCGTTTTTTAAAATAAAATGCTGCGAAGACCAAATATTAAAACATTTCATCAGTTTTCGTGTAAATAGGAAGATATGTGAATGGTAAATTGGATTTAGCCTTCCTGAAAGCTAAACACTGGAATAATGTACATGAACAGTGAATATAATACCAGGTAGAGGGAGATGAAGAGAGAGGGGAGATGAAGAGAGAGAGAGAGAGAGAGATGGGAGATGAGAGAGAGAGAGAGAGAGAGAGAGAGAGGAGATGAAGAGAGCGAGGGCAGAGAGAGAGAGAGAGAGAGAGAGGAAGAGAGACGTGGATAGGACCCATCCTACTCTCCTTATCCCCGAGTTATATAGAAAAGGTAATGAAGTAAAAATGGCGTATAAGCCGACTTGATTTGTATTTCATGACGATATCATAACTTGTCTCCTTATGAAAGCGTACTGCATAAAATGTTTAATCCCCCCCCCCCTTATTGATTTTTTTTGTTTTTGTTTTCCAAATATTTAAAGCTAACTGAAGCCTCAAAAACATATCGTCTGCTGCCCGCATGAAAGCCGCAAATGCTATGTGTAGTATGTGGCAAAAATGACCTTTATGTGAGCAGGCAATAATAATGTAGGCCTAATCCAATTTCTTCATGCTAATACTAAGTTTTTTTGGCAGTTTAGAAATTGTTAGTTTTCTGGAAATAGCAATATTTTTGACATGTTTTTTCTTCCGCTATATATGTTACTCTTTTCCATGATTTTTTATTCTGGGAGAGGAGCGAGGACAATTGGAATACTTATATTTTGTTCAGAGAGTGAAAGAGAGAGACAACTAGAGGGAGAAGTAGAGAGACGAGAAGGAGATGACATACATAGACATACAGACGTACATAGACACACACAGACATATGCATATACGTACATAGACATACATACATAGACAACATACAAGACATACATAAACAAACATAGACAAACAGATAGACATACACAGACATACAGACATACATAGACAGAGGGAGGGAGAGTTAAGAGAAAGAGAAACGGACATACATATAAAGAGAGTGAGAGCATATTTGTACATAAAAAAGACACAATAAACTGTTGAATGGCAATTTATAGAGAAATTGCTCAATACAACGAATAAAAAGATGAGGAAAAAGTCTTCCTCAATCATAAAATATAAACACAAGGGATGTCAGTTATTACCAATTTCTACTCTTTAATTACAATCCTACCATTACTGAGAATTATAAACAATTTTCAAAATAAACACAACGGTTTATGCATTAAGTTCTTTAAAAGAAATTACCCAATTTAAGAGCTTAAACAAAAAGGTAGTATAATGCAAAATATAAACCTGACAATATTATATACCTGAATAGATACTGCAGCAAAGTTCAAGTCTTCTTTTTCTCAAAGGATGGTACATCCTAAACAGTGAAAATGTTATGGGACGTACATGTGAAAAAATAAAACGTAGAATATTAATTTGTTCTTTTAGTCGTCGGGGAGGGGATGGAGAAGGAGAGGGTGGAGGAGATTGAGAGGGGTCGGGGGGGGGGGGGTAATGTCCCCATTATAATCCTAAAGGACCTTTAAGCAGAGGGAGTCTGAAAAGCCATTGGTCCCCAATTAAATTTTACATGGTAATTCACAATACTATTATTCGACACCTGATGTTCTTTTAATATTATAGGGCAGTAAAAAAAATATGTATTTGTGCCAGCGCAGTTGTAATGGTTAAACATCTTCTGAAAGATAGACGTAGTAAAAATAATCAATTTATAAGATATACTCGTATAGACTCTTTAGGGTGGTATTCCGGTAGCGCGTACTAAGTTAGCGCATACTTAGTTAATTCACACTTCTATGGAGTGCCTGTTGCAAACTAATTTACCCTGTACAGATTATTTTAATCCTTCAATGAAGAGTTTTCAAAAAATTAATTTTGCGATGAAATGGGAAGAAAAAGATAATATGAGTATGAACTGAATTTCAACAAAGTTTTTGGTAGATTATCTTTGTCATGAATATTGAAGGAGGAAGATGAAACCTAGCATTCCATAGAAGTGTGAACTAAAATTCTTGTTTAGTCTGGACTTAGTCCCGGCTTAACTTATGAGAATACCACCCTTTAGCTGCATGTTAAATGTATCTAAAACAAATATTACAATTGTAAAAACGCACCAATGAAATATGTACAATACGATGATATTTTATCTTAGAAAATACCAAATATATATACGCTTTAGGCCTATATGCCTATTTCTCTACGAAAAAAACAATAAATTGTTCCGTATTCTACTAATTCAGTTCAACCCGACCCAGGGTCGAAAATCACGTTTAACAGAAGGAAAACTTAGACCTCATACTAAATTTCTTTGTTAAAATTGTAGTAGAATATGGATCATTATGTTTACCATCCCGAATTCTTTTCTCTCTTATTACAGGTATGCGTACTGAAGTAATATTGTAAGCACACATAGAGAACAAAAATGAAACCACAACACCCTTCCAAATAGAATGCTTTTATACCAGTATCGTGTATATTACTATCCTCTAAAACGACACAAAAAGTACAAATAGGGAAACATTTTATAACAAATAACAAATATAGATATAATCCCTCTTATTATAACCAAAAACATAACATAAGCTACGGTAAAATCTAAAAGTATTTATATTTACGTACGATCAAAGCTAAACCACAAACCAGCAGATTTAGAATTGCCTTCACAAAAAGACGACATTTTGAAATTTATTGGTTGATACCAATCTTCTACTTTCCGTATTATCCTATGATACGAGCTGAAGTAAGATGAAGTAAACATTCTCCTTCGTCCGAAAGGTCTACATAATTCAAACAGTGCTGTTCGAAGGTGCTGTGCTTTGCATGTATCGAGTCCATTTGTCCTGCCCGATTCTACACAGAAGGAAATATAACGGAATAAAGAGAGAGACAGAGAGACAAAGAGAGAGAGAGAGAGAGAGAGAGAGAAACATATAGAGAAATTGGGGAGAGGGTAGAAATTGAGAGAGAAATAGAGAGAGAGAGAGAGAGAGAGAGAGAGAGAAAGCGACGGGGAATGGGAGAGAAAGAGAACACGGTGTGTTACATCATCATCATTACATATATATATTTATTCAGCGCAAGTAATATGCGATCAAAATGACCGTATCTGGACACCTACCCACTGGACATCCACCCCGGATAAACAACCCCAGTCAACTACCCCCTAGGACAACTACCCCCTAGGGAAACCACCCTCTAGGACGACTACCCCCCAGGACAACTACCCCCAGACAACTACCCCCGGACAACTACCCCGTAGGACAACTACTCCCCAGACAACTACCCCCTAGGATAGTTTTCCGGGCGTAGTTGTCGTAGAGGATGGTTGTCGTAGGGGGTAGTTGTCTGGGGCTAGTTGTCCGGGGGTAGTTGTCCGGGGGATAGTTGACCTAGGGGGTCGTTATCCGGGGGTAGTTGTCAGGGGGGGGGGTAGTTGTCTGGGGGTACTACTACTACTACTACTACTACTAATAATAATAATAATATTTAGTTTTTATAAAAAGCGCTTATCACAACTCTGAGCGCTTTACAAATATACTAATAATAATTTTCAAAGCTCTTTGGAAGCGCATAGAGGCAATATAATGTGATATGAGCTACACAATAACCGAATATTATTATTATTATTACTTGTCACTTTTGCGATCGTGGTTAGTATAAATTTCAAAGAGAGAAACATCAACTTACTTTGTTGCTTCCCTGACTTCGAAACACGTATTGACGGATAGAATGTTGATCCAGGTTGAGTAAAGGACTTCCTGCTCATCACAGATCTGGCACTGTCCGGTCCAACTGGTTGTTGATTGGCCTTCCCATCGGACCACGGTAAAGCCGAACGTTGGGTTAGTAGGGTTTAGCCCCGCATACCCCAGAGCAACGGTGGAGGCTGCAGAAATGGCGATAGAGAAAGTATACGCAAATTATCAATAACACGAAAGATTCACAAACATAATGCATGAAGAAAGCTATCGCCTAAAACCCAACGCACACTATATGATCTGTCTACGGTCCGATTTAGGAAGAACTGGCAATAGCATTTGATATGAACATTTCAATCTCAATGACCGAGGAGTAATGAGTAATACAAATCTAAATTTCAGGGGTTAACTTGAGGAGAGAAAGCTAAATTGGCTCAGAATCGTAGTGATGTCAGACCGGTCGTGCGATCACCTACGATTTGAAGCCGATCCGTATTTCATTTTAACTAGAAGTGTTAAGTGCACTAAAACTCCGGTTGTTACTATTCTTATCATTATTCAGAACCTTAGTCAGGAATATGATGTTTGTTTTGATAGATTTCCATATCTAACTATTGTTATTTCTTCGTAAATTGGATCGCAGTGTGCGGCGAGCCTAAAGCAGCTGTGCGAAGATTGTAAAAAAAAAAACTTTTATTATCATTATTGCAAAGGTGAAAACTTTGATTGGACAATTTCATCAAAATTCAATGCTTGGAAAACTTGGAACTAATGGTAATTATCAATTACAACACGCTGAAATACAGCCAATGCTTAGGACCTGAAGAGATCTCCGAACACTATATATGAGTTCTCAAAGGGCGGGGAAGATTTGACCCTTTGGATCTTAAGAATCAATAAAAAGAGTCCAGAACTAGGTACCAATTAACAGAAGGATTTCGCCATGTGTTACGAAGGGTATGAATATCTGTGGGCCCTGTCTTAGTATTAGTTGTGATTGATATCAATCGCAAATAAATTGCGAGTAATCGCTACCGTTTTGTAGACATTGTCCTGGTCTTAATCATTAAACTCCATGGCAACCTGTTTTAATCATCTCCTTGTAGACGTTTTACAATTATAGAAATTTGGAAATAAATTCAGATCCAGTGTTAAGAATACCCTCGTCTTGATAATGTACTAAGTGGCACAAAAAAAAATAGACAAAGGCTTGTACTATATAATATAAACTAACCTGCCATGCCAGTAAGCTGCTCGACATACGTCATGTAGTCTCCCAAAAGCATGCCAGTAGATGTCTGCACGATGATCAATTTATCGTTGATTTCGTTGTACCAGGTTCCCTGTAAATCACACAGATCGACTTGAAAAAAGAGAGAAATAACGATACAGCATAAGAGCATGCATTTAAGAAGCATAACCACATTAACAGCTCTCTCTCTCCCTCTCTCCCCCTCTCTCTCTCTCTCTCTCTCTTTAATTCTCTATATTTTGTTATATCTGTATATTTGTGTTTTTTCTTCTAAACTATTGTTTGGCCATTTCCGATGAATGAAAATCATGTCGCAATATATAAGAGTAGGAAAAAAGATATAAAAGGAAAACATTTCAAAATATTTCACACTTTCACCATTTTGTTTCTTTTATTTTACTTCTTTCATACCAAGGCCAAGGGCGTTATAACGAGTGTTGAATTGCCCTTTCATTACAGTATACGGCTGTCAGCTTGTTCAATTATAGTATCGTACTAACATGCAGAGTGTTAGTGATAAGAGATTTGGAAATAGATATCTGCGCATGAGCAGACAAAGGCCATTGTATCAGTGCTCTTCCCAATCTCACGCGTATGTTAAACTTTTACTATGCAAATCCAAGCTTATAATTACGTTAACAACTGTGCAATATAATGTTATTTTTAACAGTGAGGCAATATTAATCGTTCATTTTAAATTCCGTATATATTTCACTACCTAGCAAATTTTGAATTAATGCTTGTACACATTATATTTAATTCCATTTATCCTGATCTCATGTTGTTATTTATACTTGCATTGTATTTTACCTGCACTGTGATAGCATGTACAATTCAGTCTATGACTGCCATTCATGTCTTTAAAAACCTTGATTGAATGATAATAAGATAGGTATGACGTCATTATCATTCTTTTCAAAGGTAATGTCACAAATTTTTCATGAAGCATGTTCATCACGTTGAGAGTGATTTTCTTCTTGTTCTAAAATGCATTCGGTACAGTGGCATTTCTCCATTTTTAAAGTATCTGTGGGTCTTTCGGGTCGTTTCTATCGTAATGATACATAAGAACTGGTCTATTACTGTCAACTCAGCAAACAGCTCTACAAGCACTTTTTAGAATTGTAAATAAGTCTTACATATTTCGCAGATCAGTCCCGAGTATCCGAAGCGGCAGTCGCATGTGAACATGTCCAGTCCATCTGTGCATGTACCGCCATTTTGGCACGGTAGGCTGAGGCACTCGTTGATTTCTAAAAAAAAATGATCATACCCCTTTCAAACTGGCCTGATTTTCATCGGATGCATCCTGACGCATCCGATGAAATGGCCAGTATGAATGGTACAGAGGAGGAAAAGCCGATAGAATAGCCGATGAAAAGAAGAGAAATAGGCGATCAAATTTTTAATCGCCGATTTTTCTTCTTTCTATCTATAAGGAAAATTCTATCGGTATTTTCATCGGTGCGACTCCGATAGAAGCTCTATGAAAGGGGAGAGAACACAAAATAAAGGAATAAATATTGTTATAAAGTTCTCATCGTCTACCAATCGAAATTGATCAACGTGTCCAATTTCAGAACCCCGGTCTACATATACACTTTAGCTGCACACAATGGCGTATGCAGACTTCGGCCTTGGCCTGGGAAATGGGCAGAGGAGTAATCACTAAAAGTAAAAGTAATCACTAAAGTCCGGGTACTTTGAAGTGCTACGTATGGTCCGTCCTCCTGTACGGCTGCAAGTGCTGGACGTGAAATAAAATCTTGGACAGCAAATTTCAAGCAGCAGAAATGTTGTTATTAAGAAGAATGATTAGGATACCTTAGACCGACAGGATATAAGATGCAGAAGTGCTAAACAAGGCATGTGTCGATAGATCCCTCCTAAACGTCATAAGAAAGAGACAACTTCACTTTGTCGGACATATTATGAAACCAAAAATAATTGTCTGCCCTTTTGCATGGCAGTGCAATTCAATTTTTCCAAAATGATTGCCAAATAAACAGATGATATGAATTATCACATGTCGTAGGTCAGGAAAATAAGCAAGTAAAATATCGCGTTTCAATATATAAACGTTCAGATTGTAGTATCATTCGAAATCTAAAAGCTTTGGATTGGATATTTTGATATAGTGTCCGAATTCTCTCTGAACGGGGGGGGGGGGGGAGCTTGCCCTACTTCATCCAAACAATGGACACTGTGTGTGTGTGAGAGAGAGAGAGAGAGAGAGAGAGAGAGAGAGAGAGAAAGTTGTGCAACAGAAGAAGAAGAAGAGGAAGGGGTAGCGGAGCAGGAAGTTATGGAGGAAAATGAGGAAGAGAAGAATACTCCAAACTCCAAATTCAAAAGCAGAAAAAAAATTCAAAGCTACAACTTCCGACAATGTTTTACAGAGACTTGCGTTTCATCCCTACCCCGCCCCCTTTCGGTGACACCCTGATTCTACCTAAGTATTTAACATGTTTTTATATCTTACCCGATTCACAACGATCCCCTTCAAAGCCCGGTGCGCATATACAGATAAAGTCAACTCCGGAATTGACGCAGGTAGATCCGTTTGCGCAAGGGTCACTCATACAGGCGTTCGCAACTAAAATGGGATTGGATTTCGAAATATTAAAATCAATATATAATATACATATTTGTTTTGATTATCACAACAAAGAACCAAGGAATAAACCCCTAGTCCATTGTTGCCACAGACAGTGGTATTGACGCATGTACAAATGGTCATAAAGTGTCATCTCGTTGCACCTCGACAGGCTGTCCATTCCAAACGTTATCTGAGAAATTTTATTTTGGTTAAATAAGAATATTGTGTACAATTTAATAAGAAATGTACAAATTAAATCAAATGGTGTTTAAAGTTAAATGAGGTACATAAAATTTGGACATTAAAATAACCCCCCCCCCCCCCCCAAAAAAAAAAAAAAAAAAAAAAAAAAAAAAACTTAATCCGCAAAGTTCGTTTTTTTATCAATTTGATAAATGGGTGATAGGAAAATCAAATGTTGCTGAAGTACCTAATAATAAGTTATAATATATTATATGATTACTGAAGCAGATGTAACTTCACAAGGAAGAATAACACTTTTAATCATACTTACGAGCGAATTGTATTATAAACTGACGAAGAACGTTTTATCAATGTACAGAAACAATTGGTTGCTTATACGTCTATGCTTCTTACCCCATGATTACAGTTCATTGTAAAATCAAAAAGAGAAACATCCAATCCAATCTGGGGATTTGCAGATCAGAAGTATACAGTTGCCTAATACCAAAACGCAGGTGAGACTGAAAAAATACTTTTGAATATGCCGTTCGTGATTCACCTGGGAAAGACTGGGGTAGTGGCTAGTTGTAAGGATTGTGGAATGCTAAGACACAATTATGTAAATGATTGCATGAATGTCACTTGCTGTGGATACCATGTATTGTTGAACACAGAGGAATATTGTACTTACGTATCTCGCAGTTTGTACCATTTGCACCTACGGGACACATGCATGTGTAGCCATTTACCTCATCGTAGCACGTACCGCCATTTTGACATGGGCCACTCTCGCACTCATCGATATCTGAAAAGACAAACATTATTATGTAATGAAATGGTTTCATCTTTACAAAAACTAGGATTTAATTCTTCTAAAGACGACAGTATGCGCAAATGATTACACTTATAGCTTTCTTCATTGCGATGAAGATGGAAGATTTACATTTGAGAGACTGCTCTTAGATAATTGTATTACTGTTCGGGAAGGCGTCTTAATGTTGGAGAGCGACAGAATAAGATGCAGTGGTGGCAATAAGTGGCTGACAACTCGTTCCCTAGTAGTCGTGTTTAGGAGCGGGGGCTTGTCAGCCGTGCAAGTTCTACGACAAGCAAAGAACCAAAATAATTATATAAATAAAGGAATAGATAAATAGTTAAATAAATAAATAAATGAATACAGCTATCCCAAGTTGGTCTATATGTACTGTCTTTGCGCACATGGGGAGGGCGCAAGTTATATCTTTTAAACACAAGATATGAAACATGTTTGTGTTGAGGGGAGGGGGGGGGGGGTATACGTATCGCCATGTACCTGTTGCTTAATACGTTGTTCGGTTAGGAATCATAATCCGACGCCTAATACTAACTAATCAATCACAACGTTTAGTATGAATGGGCCCGAGGTAACATTATGTTGCATTATCTGAATAAAGTATGCGCAATTTGTATTGCACCTCAGGAAGTAGCAGACTATAAAGTCCCCTTTACAGACAGAGGTATACTCAATATAGAACTTGGCATTACAAAAGGCTCGACTGTTCCATGGTACTTCTTGTAACAATACAATGACCTACTAGTTTCACATGTAAGGTTGGTCCACCCAGGAGCGCATTGGCAGCTGAATTCGTTGATTCCGTCATCACACGTTCCACCATTAGAACAAGGATTACTAGCACATTCGTCAATATCTGAAGAGAAAGCAAAATGTAGATTTATTTATTCAACCATTTAATTTCATGGCAAAGACAGAAAAAAAACTTAAAGAGTCAAAGAAGGTAGGAAATACAATCGTGGCATCCCAGTGATAGCCATAACCAAGAAGGACATTCGTTCAGGAAGGTTGGATAGGAATTGAAGGTCCGCGAGTGCAAAACCAGTGATGTATTTGTACCTTTCCATAAGTCGTGAACACGACTCATACATCTCCAGATCATGGTATGGTTCACGAATCCATCTTTTGGTTGCTTACATGTCAAGTAGTACATGTAAATCGTAAATTTACACTAATATCTATGTGCTTTTGGCTCTCCAAATCGATTCGCGATAACGAAAAAATAAAATCCGAGAGAAATGGAAGAGAAATGCAAACTGAAAAGCAGGTGTCCCTTCAGATATAGCCCTTTTCTACACCACCGTATTTGAGTGATTTTCTATACAGACGTGTATCAATCGGATATGATAATATCTTTCTCATTAAATCGCCGGAGAGGTTCATCTGTTTGGTGATGTAACTTAAACGTTATTTCTTTCTTTATACGTCAGCTTTTGAAGCATTTCAAATTAGTCATGATAGTGAAAAAGCATTATGAAAAGGATTCCAATTAAAATTCCTAATGAATCGAGTTAGACAAAAGATAGCTGAAAATGTTGGTCTTAACACCTGTGCGTAGTCCCATATACCATTTTTCGTGCGGTGCATGCCATCAACAATAAGACGGAGTCAATTTCTTATCCTTTTTATCATTTCGAAACTCCACATTACACACCAATTTGTATGTACTACATAAGCAACATTTCCTATAGCTTCCAGAACAGTTTATTTCAAAATGTGATTACATGGCCAGTACTCAGCTTTATATTTAAACTTCATATGAGAGCTTCATATCACAAGAACATATCGGTGAGATGATTCCTAGAGCTTAGGGATACTCACTGTCACCACATAAAGGACCGGTCCATCCATCCATACAGTCACACGAGTAGCTGTTGATTCCATCCATGCATGTTCCGTTGTTCTGACAGGGTGTGCTTCCACACTCGTTGAAGTCTATTTGATAGTAAAAAAAAATAAAAGAGAAGAGTGGGGTTGTTACAAGACAAGCACGCGCTTATTATGTACATCAGAGTTCACCTATTGGCTTGAGAGACAAAAACTATAAGCCAAGATTCAGGTATTATATGCAAAGCTATTTAGCCAATTACATAATGTAACAGCTCAAATGTTCGACAATCCTGTGAGTCATTCGACTGATCCCCATAGATTAAACTGAATGTTGACAGACCCACACACACACACACACACACACATATAACACATATATATATACATATATATTGTCCAGCAGTAAGTAACTAGAAATTATCATATTCCTAGTATCTTTACATGCAGTATATCAAAGAAAACACACATGCATACACCAAACATACTTACTTATTTGACAGTTTTCTCCGACGAATCCAGGCGCGCAAGTACAACTGTAATCATTGATCCCATCCATACATGCTCCGCCATTCAAACACGGGCCATTAACACAGTCATCAATATCTAGGTGAAGGGAGTAGGAAAGTCACATTAGGTAAGGTAACTTATTTTTTGGTCGGATACGGTCTTCCATAAATCCATCCCAAATGACTGAAAACACATTATAAATCTTCACTATCCCACAATTTTTGTTTAAATCCATATAAATTAAGCTCTACATATAATATCGGAACCTGTATTGTCCATGAATCATTTAAATTCAAGAGTTTTATTCATTTCAAGTTGAAATAATATGCATTTTTACAAATAGATACGTATACAATACATAATAATTTAACATTCGATATGATATACATTTTTAAATAAATGCCTTAGACTTAAATAGAATAAAAACTCCTCCACAAATATAATTTTTCACAAGAATGGATAAATATTAAGGCAAATGAGATCAAATAAATTAAAAATATCAGAACAATCATTCGTACAGCAAACCAATTTTTAAAAAGAAGGTTTATCGTGATCTTTCCTCAAACTATGTTGGCAAAATAACAAAATAACAAATTTACGCGGCGTGTAAAGTGTTCGTTCCAGAAAACCGTCAGAAAATTACATGTTGCTTTGTTTTTTGTTTAATTCTTTGGGTTCGTTCGATTTCTTTGTTTGTTTGTTTTGGTAGGATCTATTTTTTCTGTTATTGATGTGAATGTATTATATTCATCACTTACCTAGGAAAATGTATTTTTGGTTTCATATTACTCAAAGCTTTGTTGGAGGCTATTTGTTTTCAATAACTTACAATAGATAAGTAGAAAATTTAGCTTATTCTTAAGACGACTTATTTCTGTATACACCATGTGATTTCATACGTCTAAATGTATAACATTGTTAATATGTTGATGTATAATAAACATCAAATCAGATCAAATGTTATATGAACAGTAGCGAGCCAATACAGGTCATCTAATACAAGGAATGCTGGTATAACCAGCTGTCCCCTATACTGATATTTTTGCGCAATAATCTTACGCTGAATCCCATAATGATCTATTAAAAGGGTTTAGATGGATTGATGTTGACGTACACCACAGGATTAAAAGAAATATTCTGCAGAAGTCTAAGTATATTGGTTGATTCACTTGAATCTTAATCTAAGGGTTGAGGGTTCGAATCCAAGCCCGATACTAACATCGTTCGGCAAGGCATTAATCCACATTCGCCACTCTCCACTCAGGTGTAAGTGGGTACCTGACAATTGATGGTAATAATAGTCTTGTACGGCCCCAGCTAGAACAGCATTTATGCTGATAAGGCTGCCCTGGACAAACAAATTTTGATAATTTTTTACATTATTATTGTTGTTATTGTTGATATTATTATTATTATTTTTTTTATATTATTATTATTACTATCATTATTATTATTATTATTATTATTATTATTATTATTATTATTATTATTGTTATTATTATTATCATTGTTATTATTATCATATTATGATTATCATCAACATTATTATTATCAATATTATTATTATTAATTTAAGCAATCTTTGTATTAATATGGTTTTTAAGTTTAAACAAATTGGTACATACTGTTTTCGCAGAGGGTTCCGTCGAAACCGGTGCCTGTGCATACACAGACGTATTGGTTTTCCCCATCCGCGCAAATACCACTATTTTGACACGGTGCACTCATACACTCGTTGATGTCTGGAACGGATCAAGAGAAGAAGGACATGACATCGGTCATTTGGTTAAATAAGAAAGGGTTATGATAGGATATATGCATAATATGCTTATTCTTTGTCATTCGAAAGCCTTGCACGTACACACTTCTTTACTCCTTGGTAATCTATTCAGATCCGGCTATATTGGTAATTTTTTAAACTTTATTCTGCAAAAGACTTTAAAATTCTAAATATTGCACGAATGTCTTTTCTTCTCACTGTGAATTTCCAAAAGATGGTACCAATTACCTTTTTCTGACTTTGAAGATTCTGTTATATCAGAACACAATGAGAAAGGATGAATTAAGAATGTAAGAACAAAAACAATACAGTTTTCATAGTTTCATGAAGATACCCAAAGCTATCCCTTTTCATATTCTGAATATATGGGCATTTGAAGAGCCATCCTTGTCAGTCAGGGGACATTTGCTCTATGGTATCTTTCCATACTAACATACAAAGAATGAAAACAAAAATCACAAATTACTTTTCACTTTTCCCTGAACTCAGCTATTTATTTGAACTGAAATTCGGAGTGAATCCTCAAATATCAAAGGAGGAAACACTTACTTGTTTGACATTCGTTGCCCTCGAATCCTGCTGCACATGTACATGTGTACATTGCAATCAGATCGGTACAAGTACCTTCGTTCTCACAAGGGTTGGAAGAACACTCGTCAATCTCTGGATAGTGAAAAGCAGTGGTTAAACAAAGTGTAAACATCAATCATGCTGAACAATCCACCCTAAACGTTTTCCCGCATGAGGGTTGGTATCTAATTGGTTACGCTTTAATATACACAATTGTATAATATGTGTCAAACTAATGATCACGTTTGGCAAGAATTTGCCACAATATTCCTCACACGGGGAAAACGAGAATTTTGCAAGTTTTTGTTTTGTTTATTTGTTATTGTTATTCATTTGTTCATGTACCTATCTATCAATATGATTATTCGAGAAGGGGCGGTCGCACAATCGTCGATATCTAACATGACAATATCCTATACAACAAACACACTGGTGTGTCGCAAATGAAATCTGTGAAGGCCTGCAAATTTTATTATATATTCTCTTGAACAAAAATCATGTCTATGTCTCTTTAAAATTTCCTTTCCAAAACAACCTGAATATTAAATAACTAATCTAGGGCAATATTGTTCAACAGAAATCAAAATATCCAAAATATGATTAGAATGGAGCCTAAATATGAATTTTGAACTAATACAGTCAAATATTTGTTACGCTGTCACTTCTACCCACATGATCCAAGAGTTTAGTCCTTTGGCAAAAGCCAGAAAGTTGCTTCTATCAGGATTCATTAATTAAATTTACTTTAAAAAAACAGTTAAAAGAAACTTGCATGGGGCAAGTAACTGAAATCACGGATAAAGATCTATCTGAATTACGTTTCACCTCACTCCTTGTAATCTTTGTTCTCATACAGTATCAACTTAAGTCAAATAAATATGCAGACGCTTTCTGCAATATCTATAACTTAAAGTTTAAGATTTGATGAATATCTTTCTACCTTACCACATAATCCAAAGGAAGTTTTCGTTATTTGTCCTGGTTAATCTTATCAGTTATCTGACCCCCTTGATTCTTTTAATTCTCTAGTAGCAAGTAGTCTATCATATTCAAACAAATCTTTCGAAACGATATGTATGACATATTGTTGTATTCAGCTCTCACCTGTTTCACAACGATCGCCCATATATCCTTCTGCACAGGTACATGTGTACATGTTAATTCCATCTGTACATGTTCCTCCGTTCTCGCAGGGCTGAGGAACACATTCGTCAATATCTGGATAATGAATAAAAAAAATAGTATATAATACAAAGTGATAATCCTTATATTATGCAGTTTTAGAAGTAAGAGATAGAACGTCGGCTACGTGCATGACATGAGAAGTTATGTTTTCTTTGACAAGTATGTGCCCCACAGAGCAGTATGAAATCCAATTATGATAATCTTTTGTTGTGCATCTAATAATTTTTCAGTTGATGCAAGATTGGCCTGATTTCATGTTGAATGAAAGAGACTTGTGTGTCCCAACTATACCTAATTTATTCAAGTATCCGATTGGATGAATGATGCTTAAAGGGATCGTTTAACAATGTTAAATCTGAGATGCACGGCCCTACGTGTTATCAGTGTCTGTGATATGGTGTTATATTGAAGCCCTACAAAAAAAATGCGCTTCAAAATGATCAAGAAGTGCCTCAAAAGAGTAAAAACCTTTGAGTGACCGGTTCTTCCATACTCGTTTTCCCAATAGACTGTAGTGTTATGGAAACCGTTTTGCAAAAGCAAAATTTGATTTCGATTTTCAATCATAAATATCTTGATAATCAGACAGGCGATCGGCTTGTTAAAGTCATGGGGTTACTGACTGATCTAAAGGTTTATAATTATCATTGCAGCATGAGCTAAATCAAGGATTTTTTAAAGAATCTAAGACAAAGTTACCAGATCCCTTTAAATCAGCATACAAATAAATAAAGTATTATTTAATCGTTCGTTGTTACTAAGCCCATGTTCTCGTTGTTTGTACGGTTTCGTTCAATATTTCACGAGAACGGTTCACGGGTTTTTCAGCATTTCTTCAGAGCAACTTGCTATTACGATTGAATTCCCCTTTACTGCACCCAAGTGGGCACACCATCAGAGTGGAGATAGGGAAAGGTTCGCATTTTGTTATTTTATCAACAACAACAAAAAACACCATAAAACTTGTCAAAGATCACCATATACACACTGTACTTCAGCAAGAACGCGTATGAACCAACCCGGCCCCCCACTCAGGTTTCGAAATGACCGCATGCGTGTTGCCAAAATGTCCGGTAAAGGGGTATTTTTCGTGCGACAAAGTCCGGCCCGAGAATTATAAAAAAAGGGGGTGTATTTGACTTTTCACCCGGAGATTTCTTTAAAAAGGGGGTGTTTTTTCTTTTTTTCTCTCATCTCTTTGGACTCCTGAGAAATTATTCCGAATTTAGGGGGGTACATTGAGCATTTTTCCTGATTTAGGGGGGTCTCCAAGGCAGGAAAAGCCCGCGAAAAGCCCGCGAAAGGGGGGTTCGGAAATGTTGGCAGTCCTCAGATAGGGGGTGCTTTCAAAAAGAGGGAACGAGCATATGCGTACCCTAAATAACACTGAGTGGGGGGGGGGGGGGCGGGTGAACCAATAACGTCATAAGGCCTAGAACGCATGTTTTTTAAAAAAATTAAAAATCCAACACGTTACAGCTTTATGAGGAGAAAATCTACCTGGGAGACCGTTACCGAGGATGATGTAAATGAATGAAATCGGTTTTGTTGCAGAATTAATGATTTTGTTTGATGCAACACATCCATGTGGTATGGGCGGCCTGCCAAAAGTTCATTTTAAATCTAACTTAATAATAATTTCGCGAAGTTCAGTTCTTAAAGTTCGGAGAGGGGACCCTACAAGTCATCTCCTTTCATATATCACTGGATATTTACACCATAAAAAGGATAGAATAATTTTAATGCTTGTACGTACTTGTTTGACAATTGGGATCGTCCCATCCTTGTGCACAGGTACAAGTGTATCCTGCTACACCATCAGTACACGAGCCTCCATTCCGACACGGATTAGCCATACATTCATCGTCATCTGTTTAACAAAACAAAACCAACACCATATTAAGAGCAGGAACGAGCATGTTTGGAGGGGGTGAGTCAGATATAGATAAGGATACCATAGTAGATGAAAAACAAATTGGGATGCAGAGAAAGTGCTATCTACAAAGAGAAAGTGGTTGGAAAATTAATTTACAGAAGAAAATGACAAACTGATACACACAAATATCAATAGACTATTTCATTTTCGTACGCGTTCTTGTATTAATATTCACGCATTGTTTTGGCACCATGATACGCTTCCCAATGTTTGTGTAAGTAATTATGTGATAAATTTGGAAAAGTCATTGAAAGCAACCGGGTTTTCTTCTTTTTTTCGGGGGGGGGGGGGGGGTTATCGACAAATATTAAGAATGATAATACTGAATTATTCTTCCTCGGGGTGCTTATTGATGTTACTATACAGTTTGTGTTGGTGTCTTAAATCCAAACGTCGATACACTCATAACTCTCTCTCGAGATGCTCAGTAAAATGTTTTCCTTAGATACATACTAGGCTGTGGAAATGAAAGCACTTCAAAGCAGTGGGTTCCAGCCAAAGTACATGTAAACCACCTATATCCTTTATCAAGATACTGATCTAAAACACTACCCAAATGAGTGAATTTACCTGTATTTTGAAGTCCAAATTTTCTAGTTGGACTTTTAAAGGGTCTACATTTACCCGGCGCTCGAGACCAACATGTTTTAAGTAGGTATACTTCCTTTAAATGTATAAAAGCCTGGCAATGGCTAGCAGTCGTGAAAATCAGGGACCGTATTTTTGAAAACGATGACTTTCATGGTAGGAAAAAAAGAATTGAGATAAGTTGTCGTAAATTGCGCGGAATTAACACCTGTCTTTAGTGCATGGGAAGATATTTCTTTTAACACTAACGTCACGCGAACGCAGCCAGCTATGCCAGACATTTACCAATGACTTGTCCAAATTGTCATTTGTTATGACAATAAATTACATGTTTAACAAAGAGGGGTAACATTGTCACTAGGGCTTATGTCGTATAATCCACTTGGGACTACTCGAGGGAGCCTGGGCAACAAATATGGCCTACTTACTAATTTCACAGTAATCACCACTGAATCCTGTAATGCAATCGCAGAAATGTCCATTAACAAGATCCATGCAATTCCCACCATTCATGCACGGCATGGAGCCACATTCATTGATATCTGGGAATAAAACATGCGTGATTAATGTTTATGGAGGGCATATTTATCCAAAGTATATAACACTTGAAAATGGTTAACGTTTTCCCCGCATACAAAGGATCATGCAACAAAACTTGACAAGGCACAGTCTACCTATCTACCTGTGGAGGTGCCGTGGTCGATTTATGGTTCATTTCACTTGGCTCTCAATCAAAGGGTTGAGGGTTCGAATCACAGCTCGGCTCTCTCGTCTATTTTCAATACATCAATCTACATTTACCAATCTCCATTAGGTGTAAAAAGGGCACTTTGCAGGATTTAATTCTTGAAATGCACTGTACGCTTATTACGGCTGCCAGAGCCAGAATTAAGGATATTCATTTCCAAACTTCTGTGGAAGTGCATTGGTCCGTTCTATCATAACATGATATGTGCTATACAAGAACGGTTTATTTTTAATAATGATAATATTATTTGTATTACTATTTCTACATCTACTGTTACTACTACTCTTATCATTATTATTATTATTATAATTATTATTATCCTAGCGGGACTTGTTATATGTTCCCCTTCGCTGACATAAACGTTATGGGATTGTAGCGGGGGTAAAGTGAAACTTTGAACGTGACCTTGGACGTCATTGACGTGTCATCTGGCAGTACAAGCCTATTTAGATCACCCATTTTGCTTTTCGTTCTAAAAACAGTTCGGCAAGGTATTACCCAAGTTTTGGTGAAAAGGGAACGTGCATGTTTATTGGGTAAAATGTCACTCAGTATTGAAATAAAGTGTACTCGACTTGGGTAAAACCGACTCAAAATTGGTTACAATTTTACCGAATAAACATGCCAGATGGTTTTAACGCCAAGGCCATGCAGACCCAGCGTCCTCCACATCGCCAGGCTCGTGTGGTGACTCGGAAAGAATAACACCTCGACCTTGCTATATTTAATCCTAGAAACCTTGTAAACATACTGTATATTATCCATGTAGCCATCATAAAAACAATTTTCGATATAAATTTCAAATGCAGATGATGAGAATAACTGTTTATATATACTAACCGTCTCCGCAGTTTCTACCGGTATACCCAGGCGCACAAATACATGAGTAGTCATAGTATTTATCCATACACGTTGCGTCATTTAGACATGGTCCAGACCCACACGAATCAATATCTTGGTGAAAATATAAAGAAAGAATAACATTTATTAATGTGAATTCTCAATGCATTATACAATGTATGTTTTGACAAACAGGAAAGCTATTAATATGTACCTATTATTTCGTTAATTGATTAAATTATCAATTCATTTGTCTCTCTTTCTAGTGATTTTATTTCGTCGATTTAATCGTGTTGTGTAACATAATAAAGATAAATTTTGTTTGTAAAAAAATACGTTTCGAGTGGACGGTGTAATAATTGTCATTACCTAAAGGATGCGTGATAGTCCATTAGGAGAACTGCGGTTCCCTTGGAAGGGACTGCATATATATTCTGCTTGCATTTACAACCATACTGGCTGTAAGATGAAATTAACTACCCTGACCAAACCGCTATCATCATTCAGTGTTTTAGGCAATGAGAGTAAACAATACTTCATCTTACATCGACCACTATGAAGAATATTATTAGGCAGATACATCTGAATATTGGCCCTGTACAATTACTGCCATAAATTAGAAATAATACTGAGCAGCATTTCTGTACATTAAAGATTTTTTAAAAGGCGAAGGAATTCGTATCGTTTAACATAACGTGAAATTATCACAATAAATTTACATTACTAATATTAATATTGGGAATACATTCACGGGCCCTGCATGGATCAAAGAACCATTCTTATTTCACCGATAAGGATAAAAACTATAAATACAAATCGTTTACAAAAATTAATACTGGAAAAAAATAACGAGACGTTTTTCTTACCAGCCGTATAAGAAATGCGATAACCCGGACGGCCTACGTTTTTGTCCGAGAAGAAGTAGAAGAAGATTTGGTTTGTGTCGTTGAATACATATGTCCTTTCGCTCAGGCCTGCAAGGTCATTACCACGTTCATAAATGTCCGGTTGATTGGGATCTACTTCATAGATTGGGGACCTTTTCCAAAAATGAGGGTGTCCTTGAGCGGTGATTCTAAATCGAATTCCTCTAGGATGAGCGTGATTTGTGTTGCATCTGCGATTTTCAGATGAGAGTAGCAATCCTGACGATTTGGGTAATCATTAGGGTAACCGGGACTCGTGATATTCCCTTCACTGTCGTAGTAATTGATATTGCATCCAGCGACCCCTGCGAAGAATTTAAAATATTTTAAAAAGAGATATTATTTTATAGATTGAACGTTTCTATTCCGATGCAACCCTAAATCACTAACAGAGTGACGACAACCGATGAAAAAGTTGCATAAATTGACGACCGTGTCCGGACACCTACCCCCTGGACATCCACCCCGGAAAACTATCCCCCAGACAACTACCCCCTAGGGCAAACGATGGTTATCATATGGGTAGTCGAAAATCGTTTGCCGACCAAACTGGTCGTGAAAGAGTTTTTTCTTAGCTTTTCCAAGAGTAGGCAACATATCTCAAATTGATCGGTGACTTATCACCAAGTGATCTTCATTGCTTGACGACTATTTCCGGGCTGTGTTTGGCTGAGAAAAGAACGGAAGCTGATCGACGAATGATATACGATCAGTCGCCGATAAACGTTCTCAGAACGCCGCCAACTAGTAAGGGACGCCAACAAGGCAGCAGAGTTATGCATAAGGTGTCTAAATATCAATTACTCTTGGATTGGGAATCTGCCAAGGTTGGGTATATTTTGTTTCGATACGTGTACGTGTACCAATTTTCATTGTTTGCATAATAATGTAGAACATTGTGTAAGAGGTGTTATGGACTAGTGGATAAGTCACCCGACTGCATATCATAAGGTACGGGGTTCAAGTCCAACCGTGGCACTAATGTCCTTTGGCAAGACGTTAATCTACATGTGCCACTCTCCACCACCCAGGTGTGAATAGGTACCTGGTATGCTTGAGCGCTAGTTACTTTGTCAGCTCGGCGCCATGAGCGTCAGAACCTAACGGATACCGGCGCTATATAAATAACCATATTATGATTAAGAGTAATATACAGGCAATTGATTACGCACGCTATCTCTGTGTAAAGCTTTCGTCCTCATCAGACTTCTTCAGAAAGTTCTTAAAGACCCTATCCGTTGAAAATACTTAATGTAAATTGAAAACTGAATTATGAAGGAATAAAAAGTATTAAACCTTTCATTAATGCACACAAGCAAATTAAAAACCTCATTTTCTGTACCCCCTCCAAATAACGTCTCAACAGAGGTCAATTTGCCGAAGTTACAGAGACGACATAACATGTAGACCCGATCGGTTCACCTATATATATATATATATATATATATATATATATAGCTAAGGCGATGAGCCGTGCTTAATTGATGCAAAGTCATTGTGAATATGCGTACACATGTCATCAATTCGATAGCAAGTTTTTAGGTCAACAAATTCCGATTTTCAAAGCTTTAGATTTTGATTTTTCAGAAAGCTGACACTCCTCTGACATTGTAAATACTCGTCTAACATGGCATATAATTGATAGTATTTTAATCTATGGCTTATAAACTTTCCGTTGATACATAATTCAACCATTTCATATTTCAATTCGGATATGGTCATTAAGTTAATTCAAGAACCTTTCTCTCTGTACTGCAACTTGTGATGATTGTTTGCAGTCCTGCCATGCTCGGGGTGAGAGATGACAATCTTCAAGTAGGCCACCCTGATTCAAGTAATGATCTAACAAAATCGACGTTTAGCAATGCGTTACTACTCTTAGGTTTAAGGCTACAGATATCGCAAGAAAACTGCTGACCCTCACTAGGTATTTATGAGTCTTTTCTTACCAATAAATGATTCATTACAGTTCTGTCCAGAGTAAACATTTTCCTTTTCAGGTTGCGATGGAACAGGAGCAACTGGACATTGACAGTAGTACCCCAAAGTAGCATTGACACAAGGAGCATTCTCTAGACAAGGATCCGAAGAACAGTCTGTGAATGCAAAATAAAGGGTCATTAAATATACATGTATATTTAAAATATTTTTGAAAAAAAAATATCAATGTTTTATTGAATCAATTAAATTACTGTCATAACATGGAATTGATAAATGCCTACGAGCCAAAATACAGCTGTGATCATTAAAAACAATTAAGTGACAGAGAGTACGAAATAAATAAACTACGAAGATGAATAGGTAACAATGAAACAGGTCCGAAACTAACAGGGGTGGGAAATATTAGGAATGAAACTCAACGGACCCCCAGACCGACACCACCACGAACGAACCGACCGGTCACCTGGGGTCGTTGCATGGAACCGTTTGACCAACTCCATATCAGTCCTTTCTCTGTCCGCGAAGTACGGAGATGTCAGGAAGCCGACAATCCGTTTTACCCGGTTTATTTATATATTTATTTACCTATTTATTCATTCATTAATTCATTTAATTATTCGGTTATCCATTCAATCATGCTTTCATTCATTATCTAGTTAGGTATCCTTTTTGTTTGACAAGCAAAGATCATCAGTATATGCAATACATAAAGAAAGCCACACATTTCTTGCATGAATCAAAAGAAGACAAAAGACTTGATGCATGGCTGATCGTCAACGAAATGGAGTTAAGTCTTTTGTCAACTCTGTTTATTGCTACGGCAGGCAGCTAGTGAAAACGAATTCGTTTGATCAAATTTGTTGGTCAAACAGTTTTGAGCGTTAAGTAACGCCTAGCAGGAATGCTCCCCAGGCAGTGGAGATTGTGCACACAGTGTGTGCGGGCAAGCACTGAATCCAATGACCGGGGTAATAGTATATTTGTAAAGCTCTTAGAGACATTGTACTCAGCGCTATATAAAAGCTAAATATTATTATTAAATGCAAGCATTATTTTAAACCGACAGAACTTTGTTATTCCTGGCTCATTTTTCCTGATTGAGTTGTCATATATTTATAGAAATGTGATTTTCTCTTTGAAATTCAAATACCGCCCGCCAAATTACTTTTTGGTACCCTCTCTCCAAATTGTTTTTAATCGTTCAAGCGTGAAATATGCGTCATAATGAGTTGCATCAAATGAAAGAGGAGCTAAGCTTTACAAATAAGTGTCATTTATTGATTATAATTGTGATTAAATTATGATAAAACATCGATAATTCTCGGTTTCGTTTTTTTTTCTGGGACGCACTGTATATGTTACTACTAGACCATGATGCATTCCTGTCACACCATTCCGGCGCCAATGTTCATATAATCCTTTGTCTTCGTTTGACGCAATCATCGCTGACGGGGAAGCGACCTGAATGCATATCTCGCTCATTCTTTTGACTTTTTCCGATCGTGGATTTTGTCAGTATTGTTTGTGTTTAAAGGATGTATTTCAGTTTATTCGAGCTTCAATGGACCTCTTCATTACTATCTGGTTCAAATTCATTACACGCGCCGAAGACAAAATTGAAAGAAAGCTCAGTCCGCCCTCATGGAGGAATGTATTAGGCTGTATGAGAACAAAGAAGAAGAAGAGAGAACAATCACCCACTAATATGGCTGATTCCTTAGAGATATCTTTCGCTTTTGTCATGGAAGGGATTTTTTATATTCAATTATGCCAACCTAGTAAAAACGAGATTGAATACGATCTACCATGCATAGATTAGAGTCGTGTTTCTAGATAATCCCCGTAATGAAGCATTTGCTTTTATATCCAGTTAGAGCTTCTATATCTCATAATCAGACGAGAAAACATCAAATGAAAACTATAGTTCTGTACTAAGAATGCGCAAATTTCAAACGCTTTTCACCTGCACGTCAAGTTACTTTTATTTCTTTCTCTTTTTGCATCCATTCTGTCTAAGCTTATTTGATGAAATACCTACGAGGAAGCATTATAAATTAATTATTTCCACCTTCCCCGGATCTCCTTCCCTTTATCTGTGTATAGGAAAGTTACACTGCAAGGCGTGGTTAGACTGGCCCGGGTATTATGTGGTTTTGCATATTTATATGCTTATATCAACAATACAAATATGATTCATACTAATAGACAATAAAGTCACAATTAATACATTCTTTCAACAACAAAATGACAACATACACCTTCCATTTTGTTGTTATGTGGCTTTTAGAGCAATTTATCATAGACCACAGGACCACACCCTCGGCCTATACAGATGTCTGATCAACATTACCGGGCCGTGGAAGGCATCATTCCCCCATACAACCGAACACACACCCCTTTATCCTCAAGAATGTTATTACAGCATGTATGAGTAATGTAAGCTTTTCGGGGCGTATTCTTATCAAGGGGATATCTTCCCTTAGATTAAACCAATGAATTACCGACTCTCACTTAACAGGAGAATAGAGGATTCTTAGAAGAACGATGCATGACACGTCTTCACCTACATATAGGGATATCCTCCCTTATTGACATGTTGTATTTGAAAAGGTAATTCAAATTAAAAAAGATTTAAAAAAAAATAGATTTGTATATATCCTTCACCCTCGAGAAAGGAAGACCGTTCATGCATTTCTGTGTTGTTTTGAAAACTACCTATTCCAAGCACCAAAGATTCTCATAAATGGCCCAAGGTTTAAATTTACCTACTTATTACTCATCAAATGACCTTCCGCTAACCAGCGTGATGCTCTCAGGTCATTTATCTCCATGGGTTTATGATTTTTGTCTTTTTTTAAAATATTTTTCCGTTTTCTTGCATGTTGTTTTTAGCTACTTATAATTACCTTCTGTTTGTATCTTGCTTAGTTAGTACTATCATATATAGTCTCTCTACCCCCCCCCTCTCTCTCTCTCTATCCCTCTCTCTCTCTCTCTCTCTCTCTCTATCTTTCCCCTCTCTCTTTCACACACACCCTTTTTTTATTTCTCTCTTTCCATAATATGTCTTTTCTTTATGCACATATAATTTTTGTTTGGCTCGTTTTTCATTTTCTAGCATTCTTTTATTGTTTTGCTCTCTCTCTCTCTCTCTCTCTCTCTCTCTCTCTCTCTTTGTATGTCTGTCTCTCTGTCTCTCTCTGTCTCTCTGTCTCCCTCTGTTTCTATCTCTATCTATTTCGTTCTTTCTCTGTCTCTGTCTCTCTCTCTCTCTCTCTCTTCCTCTCTCTCTCGCTCTATAACTCCCAACATGCTTGAATTGTAGTATGATCAGATTGTTTATGGCCTTTTACATCCATTATCTGGATAAAAGAGATTATTCCTTTTTTCTTCGCTTTCACCCTTGATCAGCAGAGGAATTATTTCGTGGGAGTACCACCAGAAACAGCAAATAACCAGTCATTGATCTGCACTTGTGTGCATCGGTTTGTGACGATCGACAAATTCCGCAAGTCCAAGTTTACGGTCCCAAGGTCTTTACACATTCAGGCTGCACAAACTTTAATGTAAACAAAGTATTTAACTACATGTACATTTTTAGTAACTTGTTGATTCATTTCGGGCTAAATGACGAACAAAAAATAAATATATCATTGTGCAATTTAAATGACTTTTATTTGTCGGCGTTGATAATTTTCAGTCATGGTCCTTCATTCTCAATCAAGTATTTTACGATGTTCCCATCAGACCAAATCCCTTTACAACTTTCCATGTCAGGAGAAGTATCTGAAACTGTATGCGCTTGCGAATAGACAACCAGTGCGGAGGCGCGATAGCTCAGTCTGTAGAGCAGTGGTCTCGTAATCCGGTGACCCGGGTTCGAAACCAAGTCGATGCGCTAGTGCCCTTTGGTAAGGCATTAATCCTCATTACCAGGGTCCTCTGCTTGCTTACTTACACGCATTTATGCTTTCTTAGCAGTCAAGTAAAATAACCTCCATCACCAATAGCTTCAGAAGAACGAGAGAGATGTGTTCAAATATCAAAGGGGGAGAGAGCCCTTTGCTCAGTGAAATTTCATTAAAAATATTGTATTACTCTGGGGATGCATTAGGGGTCAAATCCCAAAGTCTGCCAAAATCCCCCCCCCCCTCGCACCTCACCCCCTTCCTGGACAGATCGCAGTGAAGTGGTTATAACACTTGGTATCACGCGACTGGGTCGTAGGTTCAAACCGAACTACTTTTTCTCAATGGAATACAATATTCGTGACGTTTATAGGTCATAAATATCAAGTGTGCTAGTTTTTAAGGTTAATTGCTTTTTAAACAGAGGTCCTCTTTGTTTGGGTCTTTTCGGGTTTAACAGCCTGTGACGTAGTGTTAAAGGCTATCTATATTAGTTTGACAAAGTGATACCTCTAAAGAGAGTTACATTGTCCGGATTGAGATTGTCCACCAAAGATATAGTTTACTCCGATATGTACCATGTAACACAATACTGGCCATGTCTTTAATCATATATTTTACAATTCTTCATCAGGCGATAATAAGTAAGGTACATTTTTGTCGTGGTATAATGAATCTCAGTCTGAGGGTCGAGGGTTCGAATACCAGCCCGGCACAAACATTCTTTGGCTAGAGATCAATCAAAACATGTGCCACTCTCCACCCAGGTGTAAATGGTTACCTGGTTATGCTAGGGTAATATTTAGTATATATTTAGCAGTATTTATACATAGCCTATTAATGTGGCTACCCTGGGTAAATAAGGCCCAATTTTCATTATTATTAGGTTTTATTGAAATGTATTATCAACAAATGATCATACATAGTGAACAGTGTAACACATAGCGTTCTGAATTAATAAGTGTCTACAAAACAAACAAATCCAAACAAACAAAACAAAACAAAACAAAAATAAAACAACAACCAAAAGGGTCGATTCATTCAATGTTGGATCTTGCAAACCTCAACTGTTAACATGAATATGATCATGTTGATTAAGATTTCCGCGGCTCATAAACGGGGCGTGTCTTTTGTTAAAACAGGTACCATTAAACTCAGACTATTGTCCAATCAGGTTCCCGCATACAGTGAAATAGTTCCAACTAAAACGCTTGATCTCGCCTGATTGGCCCATGCATGCCGGAAAAGTCACGACTGAGCGCAGGTGTTGTCGGGTCGCAACTCTTGTGCAACGAAGCCCCAGTTCTTTTTCAAATTTAATCTGCATATTATGTTTCACCTTGTAATACTTCTATTTGTGTTTCTAATATGCAATTTCAATATTTTAACAAATCCTGGGCGTCAATCCTTACGTAATACCTATTGTTCAGGGGGGGGGGGGTGATCTATTCATTCATCCCCCTGAACAATAGGTATTACGTAAGGATTGACGCCTATGTAACACAAATTTATTGCTTTAGATTTTACTTTGCTTGTCTCAAATTTTCTTTTCCACTCTTAAACCCCTCTTTAGTCTTTTCCATTGGTCCTTGGTTTTCAGGGTTCTTCATCTAGGTCCTGTTACCTTCTCCCATAACACTATTCCTCAAGAAAAGAAATCGTCTCTTGATCTGACCAAACAAGACCTTTTCCTATTTTCTCACTTTGCCTCATTCTCTCACAAGTGTTTGATGGAGATATGATGAACTAGCATTTGGTATTTCATGTTAGTTTTCATTTAAAAAATATGAAAACATTCTGTTATACTATAATAAAAACAATTTTTATTCCGCATTTCTAGTAAGGGCACAGAAATTTAAACCCGGATAGTGGTACTAATAACTTAGTTATGTTCCATAATGTTTCGCTAAAACAATAATAGCAGGATGATCTCTTTACCATTCCTCTTTCTCTCTATCTACCCCTGCTCCTCTCTATTTCTCCGTCTGTCACTTTCTCTCTCCCCTCTCACTCTCTCTCTCTCTTTCTCTCACCTTCACTCTCTTTCTTTTTCTCTTTCTCTCTCGTTTTTTTTTTAACTAGCAACAGAAGCTTTCTAGTTCCTCAGTCGTTTTTTTTTCATTCATTCTCTTTTTCTTCAATTAAAACCTGATCTTGAGTTCCAGTATCAAATTTTCGAGTGAAACTATATTAAAGTATTTTCGAATCGTTCAGCAGGAAATGTAAATTACCTACCGAAAACTTGCTACAAATATTTGTTTTTATTTCAATGGGCGTGTGAGAACAATATTGACTATGCAAGCGGGTAGACGGGGGATTCTCGTTTTACTTCCTTATCTTTCTCAAATCATTCCTAGCAAAAATCTTTTGGCAAATTAATAATTCCTTTTCATCTGTAGTCTTGAACATGGAGGTTGAAAATTCTTTGATTGTGCATGTGAGAACCTATTTTCGTCATTTCTAAAAGTCAATTTGACATTTAAATAGAAACTCAGTTATTTAGTAAAATCAGGATATAAATGTTGTTTAATCACATTTTATCACATCAATGAACTCGCATTCAGCAATGCAGAATTATATTAGGAACATTAAATGAGGCTTGACCACAAAAGCTAAGGAGAAACGACTGTTAAAGAGAAGGTTGAGTTCTGGGAAGAAGTAAAAATAATTTGTGAGCGTTATCATTGTATTATGCAAGTGTGGAAGAATATCAGATAAAACATGTTCCCTGAAAAGCATGGCTCTTCAAATGCCTTAATATTCTAAGTATGGCATGTAACATCATAACAATCGGGACGGAATTTTATGCCACATGTTCGGGTAGTCCCATATAAATCTTTCTGTCTACAGTGATTGTAACTTTACCAAGACTTGGCCAAATTTCTTATCATGTTGACGATTCCAGAACCTTGCAGTACACACCGATACTTATATGTTAGAAGATCAACCTTTTCTGATCGATTCCACAACGTTTCTTTCACAATGCAATCGCATGACCAGAACTCAACGTTATCTTTAAACTACAGAATGTTCGAGGGCTTGGGGGCACTGCACTTTAATAGTAATTGATAAAAGAAGGTACTCTGTCATGACTACAAGCATACATCCGCCTTAAATAGGTGCAACTGTTAATCAATAGTAAAGAAATAAGAATGGAAATATGATTCGGTGTGAGAATGTAATGTTACGTTTGAAACATTACGGGTGTGACAACTGGCATCCTCTACCAACCATTTGAAACTGTGCAAAGAGTTCGAAGTTTAAACGTGGTACAAGTTTGAATAACTCATAATTCATTGTTCGTCTCATTGTAAACCATGCATGATGCAAACAGGAAATACTTAGTAGAATGCAAAAAGAGACCAGCCCAAATTAAAGACAACCCCTGATCAACGATGGAAAATATAATTTCATTATGCAAACAAAAAAACTGGATATCGCAAACACTTAAAACAAATAACTGTATATGGTGCCAATGGATACGGCCTCACCGAACAAAGTATAATAGAAGATTTACTCCTGGGCCATATGTGCCTATAGTGACCAAAACTGAACGTTTTGTTTTACCTTCGAAAGGTTTCTTGATTAATTCTGGTAGATGATTTGGAGGTTGACCAAACTGGATAATTTCAGAAATACTGAAAAGGTGTGTCTAGGGAATGTGTAAGTATTTAGACACGTATTAGAGATCCACTTGAATATGCTTTGCTCTTCTACATTTTCCACTCTCCACCCAGGTGAGAGAAAAAACCTATCTTTGTCCAGAGTGGATCTCTAATACAAGTCTAAATACCAACACATTCCAAGACATGCATGTATTCATTAAATGCTTTAGCGCCTTATTATGGTAGCTCAGCTACAGTCTGGGTAATGATATGATAATTTGTATTACGCGCAGTAGAGTATATTTATTTAGAAGCTGCGTTATATAAATAAACCTGTTATTATTATTATTATTATTCATACTCGAGTCAAGAATACTCCTTTCTCAGAATTCTGTTTCTCAATATACCTGTAGTCAGTAGCCGTTCTGTATTTTCTTACAATTTTCTAGAGGCTGGATGTTTAATGTAATAAAGTGTCACCAGAACCGCAATTCCATACAAATGGTTACCCTTGCCCCCTTCCCCATATCATCGTTACCATCCCTTTTTCCTTCTTCCTCTCTTTAATTTCTTATTTTTCTTCTTCTTCTCCTCCTTCTTTTACACTGTTCTTCTCATCCTTCCCCTCACCCAACATTTTCTTCTTTGTCCTCCTCTCTTTCATCATCTACCATCAGCACCATCCCCATCACCACTACCACCACCATGGCACCATCATCACATTCATTATTACGTCACGCCATAGAGGACAACATCGAATTGTGTGTGAAGCTATTACGGTATGACTTCTGGAAATTCAAGTTACAGGAAGCAGTGTGGTAATACTTGCCTTGGCAAAAGCCAGATGATACAAGTGTCGCAAAGAACATGACGACAAATTTCCAGGACATCCAGGACGACATCATCATGAAAGGTATTCTTGAACAAATTTCGTCTGAGAAAAGAGACAGGTCACTTTGTTCAGGTTCTTCAAAAAATGAACAATTTATCTGTAGAACGAGACTTCCTCGGTGCCAGAAGAGAATACTGTAACGCCTTCCTCTTTGCTCGGCAGCCCAACGTGGGAATGGTGTGAATCCGCCCAGCTTAGACCCACTTTTCAAGTTTGGAGTCAATGGACCCGAAACACCAAGGGGTGTCGCCCCGAAATACTCTGACTCGTGGGCGCATGTCCTGCTTTCGTTTACCTGTGTACACCAATGTTCATGGTAATTTGGTTCTCACTATGCGATTTTCAGTTACAGTTACTCCTTTTTTGTTGAAATTCCAGAGTATAAAAAAAGCTCAATATAGTCGTGACAAGATGGATACTGATTAGTTTGTAATCTGGATGTGAGCTTTGCCAGTACATGAGCATTGTATTTTACTGTATTCACTTTAAGCCGTGGAGACATTCAGCATATAGATTGTCAAAACTGCCCTTGCTGGGAAATTATTTGGACCTATAGTAAATATTATTTATTAGTATTCCATAGATTTATTACTACAATTAAAATCAAATCAAATCGTTATTGTTGCAAATGATTCAGGACTCAAATTAAACTTTGAGTTAATACAGAATCTTACTTTAATTTGTTGTTATTTAGTTTGTTACGTTGTCGATGGAAGTCCAGGATAAGATTTTGAAAATAATTCTTTAGGATATAGATCAAACCTTTCAAAGTTTTATTTTATATTAGATAAGTTCACTTTTCACTGGAGGAGGAAATGCTTGTGAAAACAAATTAACAGGGCTTACATCTCTGGGATTACACTGGGCGAATGTGAGATATTAATTCATATCTAATCTGACAAATCAACAGAGCTTACATTCTTTAGGATTACATTGGGTGAATGTGAGATATTAATTCAGATCTAATCTGACAAATCAACAGAGCTTACATTTTTTGCGACTACACTGGGTAAATATTTGTTTAAGGATACCATATTTGAAAAGAGGCAGGAGAGGAAATACATTTTACTCTAAATGTATCTGGAATTAAGTGGCCCTAACTTTAGTCCATACTATGCACCGAGAAAATCTCTCAATATTCTTTAAGGGAGGCTGAGAGTATCCCTCCCCCAGCTAATCTGACTTGCTTGCCAATTCTATTTTTATTCAACATGATCTATGTATATTGAATCAATGATTAATGGCAAAAATAAACTAAGCATGAGCAACGCGTTTTGTTTAGCGAGTGTGGCTGGCTATCCATTCATTATTTCCAATCACGCATGAAGACACGATATTACCTCCAACGCTAAACAGAAACACACAAGGGGGCATATTTGCACCTATTCAGCGCAAACAAGACCCCCGTGAATTACAATTGCGATATGCTTCCTCTATTGCGGTATCTATATTCTACCGAGTAACGAAAATATGGTTCATGTTTTTCGTGATCGATATGCGGAACTTCTATTGACACAAAATGTAGTACCTGTTACATCTTGTAACCAACATCTGACTTTAAAAATAAATACAGCTATTATTGGCTTCTAATAAATAATTATCTCATGCGGTATGCACTAAAAGTGATGACAGGTGAATCGTTTTGATGGCGACTAAATAGAGAATACGCCCTGATGTCATCACCTGAGAAATGGTGATGCAAGAAAGGATGAAAGGGGTATGAAAATGGAGATAGTTTAGGGGGAGGGGTATATATGAGGAGAGAAATATACATGTATATAATATATATATATATATATATATTATATATATATATATATGTCTGGAAGGGTGAAAAGGAGAGCAATCAATGTTTTGAAAGCGCTAGAGGACGAGACAAAATGAGTAAATATGAAAAAAATCAAGAGAATTATGAGATAGATAACAAGCATTCTTAAAGGGGGGAAAGTGGGAGAGTAGAGATCTTTACTTTCATGGCGAACGACCGAATGCGAAGGAGAAAATCAGGAGTAGGGCAGAGAGAAAAGGGAAGGGAAGGAGAAAGAGAAAATGGAAGAGAGATCGAGAGACAAGGAGAGACAGGGGAAGAAAGGGAGACAAAGACAGAGATAGAGAAGGAAACAAGAAAAAGAAAGGGGGGGTGAGAAGGGGGGAATGAATGCATTGCCATGGTGTCAAACATCGACAAATACGTCTGCAATATCAACATTGAGCGCTTACTAACGTGATGGATTTGAAAGAGATTTCTATCAAAGAGGCGCATAGAATTGGTTTGAAAATGACAATGTATCAAGCCTCATTTATCTTTCCGTTTACAGGCAGGCAGGTTATTGCCTTCTCCTGAGGATGTACGGTACACAAAGCACCTTTCAGAACACTCTTTCACAATTTTCTATTCTATTTTCTCCCTTTCTCCCCTTCCACAAAAGTTACTCTCATCGACACAGATCTACGACAAATTGCTCATAGCCATGACCTAGTAGTGGTCTTTGTAGTTTTATATATTTAATTTTGTTATTGATTAATTCGAAAGCGTGTGTAACCCATACAGAGTGTCATTTTGCCACAGTGTCACTGGTAAATCGAGAAAAAAGGAAATGAGGACAAAGCAAATATGGAATATGATTGCAATCTCGAACAAGCTGACATATAGCCTGGGGCCTGTTCCACGAGACGGTAACGTGTCTAAGTTTGTGGACATCCTCTAGAAACGCAGGGAATTAACTCGCCTAAATAGGATATACATTTACATGTATGACGGTTTTTAAAAACTTGTCAGGGTTCCTGGAGTTCTTCCAAAAGAGACAGATTGCAAGTACATGTGATCTGTTGGAAAATTAATCTAGAGTTTTTCACGAGTTGTTTCCCCCAGATTTGTATATCAGATTGGTAATTCGATTTCTACCACACCCAGCCATACCATTTGAACTAAATAGTGCCTTTTGTGGTTAATTATGAATTATTACATGAATGCAATTACTCATCATTTTCTTTGTTTTTAGTTTCGGTGCGTTATTTTTTGTTATCAGAGTTGGTATGTTTATGAAAGCATTTTCGCCATAATCGAGCCTTTGAGCCCCGTTGACAGCAAGTGCACAAACGCATGCACCACGCATTATTCAAACATTGAAAATAAATTAGCAAATAACGGTAAAAGTTCGTTAGTGTACACCGCCTCTTACATGATTTTTGAATGTCTCTTCGCGTTTCTAAAGTATGTGTGGAACACTATTAGAGGAAGGAACACTGCATGGTGGCCATTCTACACCTGGGTTCAGAGTATCTGCCGTAGGTAAAATGCCTGGACACACGAACCGGGAAGGGAGTCGATCCCCCTGAGCTTTTAATCGACTGGTTTGCCGATGAACCCTTAAGCTATGGTATCCTCACATTGACAATATCCCTACTCTAACGATTCCATTCTGGGGGAAGGGGAGGGCCTAAATGTCATGATTAAGGACTACTCATGACCGCTTTTGACAATAAGATTGCTCATGGGCTATCAAGCAAAGGGCGGAGGCGGAACCGGTCCACGCCTCTACCCCTGTCGACACACCCATAACCTCAACAAACATAGTGGTGTGGCAATGGGTGTCTCAAATGGGGTCCTGCACCAGTGGGGGCACTAAGAGGTCACCATCTTCTGTGGGATGAACCTGAAAATTTGCATTTTTATGTAATAAAACCTGCCAGTTTGAGGCATTAGAGAGCGTATGAAGTGTTTCCAATAATTAAAGAAGCATCATATTTTCATTTGTTTTTCAATAATATTTGTTTGTGTGGGGCACCTTGCGGATGTCAAATTGTTCCCAGGCTTGGCTACACTAATGACTGACACATCGCAGTAGATCAAGGGAGAGGAAGACAGAGAGACGGAGAGAGAGAGAGAGAGAGAGAGAGAGAGAGAGAGAGTGGGGGAGCTAAAGAGAGATAGATTTGGAAGAGATGGACATATAAAATACCTGTGACTGAAATTGACACAGCTAACCAACGAAGCGCTACACCAGTTATATCAGTCAAGGCCATTCCCATTCATTCCCATTTATGGGCAAAAGTGGGTTATTTAATCAACGAATTATTGTGGTTATCCTCAGTCTGTGATTGGATGAATGCATGGGAGGGAATGGGAGGGACACTATAACCATGACAGATAGTCAAACCATTAGATCATGGGAGTGCTCTAATTAAGCTCCTCAGTGATTTCATCCTCAGTCACAACAATAAAACCGCCCCCAATTTTTTTTTTTTTAAATCAGATTTGAAATCATTTCCCTCTTTTAATCAAATGAATACAAATGAATTTTGCAATAACATCATGGATGAAGAAAGAAGTTTGTGATGGGGTCGCCATAATGAAATACACATACATAAAACATTACATAATAATTATAGTCAATATAAAATGTCGATAAAAAGAAAGAGAGAGAGAGAGAGAGAGAAGAGGAAGAACAGGAACAAGAACAAGAACAATAACAAGAGGGAAAAGTAGATGATTTTTATCTATATAAGGCTTCCAAGTGGTACAATAAATCAGTGTATTCAATATCTTTGGCACAAAAAAAGCCATATTTAACGAGGTAAGTTAAATTTTGTTTTTTCGCTGGTCAGCCTGATATATGTAGTTTAATAATAATAATCGTAAATGGCTTCGTTTTTGTGTGATACTAGAATATAATAATAATAATTATATTTGCTTATATAGCGCCTAACACTTACTTTATCAGAAGTCTCTAAGCGCTCTACAATAATGAAGCATAATTACCCTGGCTTTAGCGGTGCAGCTGTTACGCGCGCTGCGTTTCAAGGAATAAATTCCTACCAGGTACCCATTGACTTCACCTGGGTGGAGTGTGGCAAATGTAGATCAATGTCTTGCCAAAGGACATTAGTGCGGCGGCGGGACTCGAACCGCGTACCTTGTGATCAACAGTCCGGCGACGTATCCACTCGACCACAACACCTCTACATATATATATATTATATATATTATACATTTCTCTCGCTATGACAATATTGAACTCGAGCTCGAGCAATGTATTCTTGTATCACACTTAAAGCCATCCAATATTATATAAATGTTATTAATCATCAGTTGGTGAATACAGGTGTTCATTTACTTTGGCGTTGTTTATTCCGGTTTGGTAAACATGAGAATGCTATAAACCCTGATAATTGCAATACTGGGATATTAGAATATAAACAAATACCTGTGGTATGTAAACTTGTAATATGATTGTCTTGTCTTTGAT